GTATTTAAGGGTGAAATTTCCCCAGGTCTGCAGTCCATGCAAATGTTTCATGGAAATAACCACAAAAGTATATTTGCATGAAGATAAAGACAAAGCAAATATGGTGAAATGCTAACTGCTGAGTCTAGGTGGAGGGTATTCAAGTGTTTTTATTCTTTTAATTTTTCTTTCTTCCATTGATTTTTAGAGAGAGTGGAAGGGAAGGGGAGAGACAGAGAGAGAGAAACACTGATGTGAGAGAGAGACACATCGATTGGTTGTCTCCCGCATGCACCCAGACCAGGGCCAGGGATCAAGCCTGCAATCGGGGTACGGCCCTGGACCGGAATCAAACCCAGGACCCTTCAGTCCAAGGGCCAGTGCTCTATCCATTGAGCCAAACTGGCTAGGGCTCCTTTCATTTTTCTTAATGCTTCATATCTGTCAAATAAAAATTGAGGGAGAGAAATAATAAAGACAAGGTATGTCAAGCACGCTGTTCAGCAGTTTTTATTTCACAAATATTCACTGAGCCACGGGGGTGACCAGCAAGAACCAGGGATGGGCATGCCAGATACCATTCTGTTCTGGGGCTACAGTAATGCTTTCTAGCATTTAATGCCAGCGACAAACATTAAATAACAAGACGCATATGTGCACAGGTGGCTGAAAACAGTGCTGAGCGCTATGAAGACAGTCCCCAGGTGAGGGACGGGGGCTGGGGGTGAGCGTGCCATCCTGGCTTGGGTGCCCCTGAGTCTCTGAGCAGATGGAATGTGAGGATGGACTGACCGTGCCCGGGAGCTGGCCATGCAGAAACCCCCATCCTCCTCGTTATCTGTGTCCAGGGGCCCTAGAAGTTTCCAAATGCCAGGGGTGGGCATGTTTGTTTCCTCTTTGGAGCAGCCAGCCATGGTTTAGTTTATGCTCTTAGAACGCTTTGGGCTGTTTAGACAGGCCAGATACCATCACCTCCCTGGACCGGTGAACCCTGGTTCCTACTGAATCACTTCCTGGAACCAGCTGGTGACCTGGAGGAGGCCCAGTGGCCCTCCACACAGCCCTGAGGCTGGCAAAGACCCTTCTCATAACACAGTTAACAAATGAAAAGAACTTCAACCTCATTTATAATTAAAAAATGCAAGTTGAGCCATAACCGGTTTGGCTCAGTGGATAGAGCATCGGCCTGCGGACTGAAGGGTCCCAGGTTCGATTCTGGTCAAGGGCATGTACCTTGTTGCAGGCACATCCTCAGTAGGAGATGTGCAGGAGGCAGCTGATCGATGTTTCTAACTCTCTATCCCTCTCCCTTCCTCTCTGTAAAAAAATCAATAAAATATATTTTTTTTAAAATGCAAGTTGAAATTTCATATTTTCACCCACCAGATTGGGAAAGACTAAGAGACTGATAATTTCAAGTGCTGATGAGGCTGTGGGGAGCCACCCGCTCTCTTGTGAGTAATTGGGTCATTGTGGCATTGTCCGTCGGAGCACCCTTTGGCTGAGCAGTTCCATTTTAATTAATCTATTCTGAAAATAGCTTCAGAGATGTGATTTTTTTTTTAATGTGCAAGGATGGTCACTGAATTATAACTGTGGCATTTGCAGCATTGCAGCAATTATGTCACCAATGGAAACAGCTCGAATGTGCACCGGAGGGAGACGGCTTAAATAAACTAGGTCTAGGTTACATGTCATTGTGAGGGAAGTTTTGGAAATAAAAAATATCTACATATCATCACAATAGAGGTCAGGGTGTGCATAGAGAAAGAGCCAGGAGAGTGTACACCCAAACATTCGTAATGGAGGTCTCTGGGGCATGAAGTACTGGGGGCCTTCACTTTGCACAGTGTGCATTTCTGTAATATTTAACTTCTGAATCACGGGCATGTATTGCTGGTGTGGTAGAAAGGGGGTTTTAAAGTGAGAGGGAAGGATGGAGGAAAGGACTGCAGTACTTACTTGTTCTTTTTGGCTAGCCAGGGTCCGGATCCCCTGGACACATTTGGGCGATTCACCTGCGTTAGGGTTCACCACCATGGAAGTTGTAAATGGCCTTGGAAGTTGTGATGCCAGGGCCCCTGTGACTCTGCCATGGAAGGCATGACGGAGACTGCTCTGAAGCCTGGTGTTCATCCCCGAGAGAGCCCCGCGGGGCCCAAGGCAGTGGTGGTTGGACTTGGGGTTTTTCCACTGGCAATCAGAGTGGTGAACGTTATGCTCACTTCAAGCAGAAAAGCCCTGCCCGGGTAGCTCAGTTGGTTAGAGCATCATCCCAATATGCCAAGGTTGCAGGATAGATCTCCCGTCAGGACACATACAGAATCAACCAATGAATGCATAAATAAGTGAAAAAAGAAATCAGTGTCTCTCTGTCTCTCTCTCCCTTCCTCTCTCAACTCAATAAATAAAGAAGCCCCGGCCAGTGTTTCTAAATGGTTAGAGCATCAGCCCACACATGGAGGGTTGAAGGCTTGATTCTCGGTCAAGGGCTCATATCTGGGCTGCAGGTTTGACCCCCTGCATGTGGGAGTCAACCAATCGATGTTTCTCCCTCTCTCTTAATCTGTCCCTCCCTTCCTTCCACTCTCTAAAAATCAGTGGAAAAAATATCTTCCAGTCAGTATTAACCAAAAACTAACAAACAAATAAGGTAAAGAGGGTAGGGTCCTAGAAATCCAGAGTTGAACAAGCAATCTTTTTTTTTTTTTAGACCGGGAGGAGAGGGAGAGAGAGAGAGAGAAACATTACTGTGATCGGCTGCCTCCTGCAGGCCCTCTAACTCAGGCATGTGCCCTGACCAGGAATGGAACCCACGACTTCTTGATGCACCAGAGGATGCCCATCCAACTGAGCCACGCCGAAAAGGGCTAAACAAGCAATCTTTAGGAAGGGCTGAAACTAGAGAGACTCCAGTGACCTGGAGGCAGTTTGTGGGCCTCCTCTCCAGAGAGCTAGCCTATTGAGACTCGTGACAACTTCCACCTTTGGGTATCTCACTCAGAGCAAGTGCCAACTTCTCATGAGAGAGAATCTGAATGGCACAGCTGAGCCAGCGATGGTGAAGGGTGGGGGTGCGGAGACCACCTGAGTCGGGAGAGTGGTCCCGGGGCAGGCAGCCATCTGGACAGGTGATTCCTAGGGCTCCCATAACAAACGGAATGACTGAAAAGACAGAAATGTACAGTTCTGGAGGCTGGAAGCCCAAGATCAAGGTGTCAGCAGGACTGGTTCTTTCTGAGGGCTCCAAGGGGGAATCTGATTCATGGCTCTCCAGAGGTTCCTGGGGTAGGGTGGCCAGACTTAGCAAATAAGAATATAGGAGGCAGGTTAAATTCTAGATAACAATTTTAAAATATAAGTGTATCCCACACAACACTTAGGACATACTTATAAACACACACACACACACACACAAACCCTCTAGTTTATCTGAAATTCAGATTTAACAGATTGGCTTGTACTTTATCTGCCAATCCTACCCTGGGGCACTTGATAAAAATACCACTGACCTCATCCCCTTGTGCGATTCAGTAGGACTGGGTGGAGCCCAGCCAGGAATTTGTTATTATTTTTTTTAATGGCGTTCAGCTCACTGGCAGGGTTGGGAAACCTGTATTCCAGCACACCAGCGAAGCAGGACTTTTAGGGGAATATAGGCAGGCGACGGGAATTTTTAGAATTGGGGACCACGGAAAAACACAGGGCTACAAATTGGGAGAAGGTACATCTCCATAACACAAGGAAGCCAGGTGCAGGGAGCAGCAACAGTTGTGTTTACATAAGACAAGGGAGCTGGAAGCAGCCAAAAAGGTCTATAATATTTACAAAATAAAGAAGAAGGAAGAAAGCCAGACCGAAAAGAACAATGAGGGAGGAGGGCATCACATGTCCCTTGTGGTGTTTGACCTTTGAGTTCAGGAGTTACTATAGTAACCAGTCTAAGGGAATAGTGACCAATCAGAGGGGATACCAAGGCACCAGGATCTGCAGCCTTTATAAGCCATAGGGAAAGGGAACTCAGAGGGACCCTTTCCCCCTCCCCATGTGGGAGTCTGTACTTGTTCTTCAATAAATCTCCACCTTTGCTATACTACTCTCTGTCCGTGGGTTCATTCTTCGACTCTGGCGGACAAAGAATCCGGGTTCCAGTCCAAGAATTCCGTTTCACCAGGCTGGCAGGGGACCAGCTCCTGCCACCATGAAAAGACACATTTTGCCCTGACCGGTTTGGCTCAGTGGATAGAGCGTCAGCCTGCGGACTCCAGGGTCCCAGGTTCGATTCCGGTCAAGGGCATGTACCTTGGTTGCAGGCACATCCCCAGTAGGGAGTGTGCAGGAGGCAGCTGATCTATGTTTCTCTCTCATCGATGTTTCTAACTCTCTATCCCTCTCCCTTCCTCTCTGTAAAAAAATCAGTAATATATATAAAGAAAAGACACATTTTCATTTCTCAGTCTTTAAGGGGCGAGCTAGCAGGAGTCAGGCCCCCAGAGAAGCTGTCCCTGGGACCATGCGGGAAGGGGTCGGGGATCCTCTCAGGTGTGGCGCCCCTCCTCTCACTACATTGTCGGGACAACCCGCTCGGCTGCTTTTCCGCAGGCCGCCCCATTTCTTTCTTTTTCTTTATTCCTGTTCTTTCGCCCCATTTCTTTTGGAGCCCCTGGTTTTTCTGGGGTCTGAGGATCTCTGCAAGACTTGACCAACCCGCCCCGCCCAAGTTGTAACTTTCCAAATGCGCCGGAGCCTGAGGGCTGGGGTGGGAGAGGAAGTGCGTGGGACTCAGCACAAAGAAGAGCGAAGAGGCAGGCGGGGCTCCGGGTTCTCCCTGAAAGCTGCTCCCAGACCTTCCCCGGAAAACCGCACACCCAGGCCCTTCCGCCCCGCACTCCCCGCTGCCTGGCGAAGGAAGGGCCGGGGCCCTGGGGGGCGTGGCCAACCCAACTGCAGCCAATCCCCGAGGGGAGCTGGTTGGAGGGTGGGGCACCCCGGGGAGGGGCGTGGTTCCACAACTTCAGCCGCTCAGCTGGACCAATCCCGACCCGGGAGGCGAAACGGACCCCTACCTGGGCCCAGGTGAGCTGCACCGTGCGTCTCTCGGCGGCTCCGCGCCCGGGATGGAGGGAGCCCGGGCGGCATCCAGAGGAGACCGAGCCGGAGCCGAGTTGCCAATGGAGCCCTTGGAAAGCCAGGAGCCGGGGCTGGGGCAGCCGCAGGCCCCCGCGGAGGAGCGACGGCCAGAAAGTCCCGAGAGCAGCCCGGCCGCGGCCGTGCAGGAGGCGACCGGCGCGGGCCAGGACCCCTCGGGCGGGAAGAAGCTGCCCTCGCCTCGCCCCGCGCGCCCGCGGGTGCTGCCCGCCAGCCTGGGCTACGGCGCCTTCCGCCGCCAGTTGTCCGCTGGCCCCGAGCCGCCGTCGCCGAGGCCCGCTGCGGCCGAGCAGCCCCGGGACGGCGAGGCGGCGGGAGCCGAGCTGGTGCCCTGGGCCGCCCCGGGGGAGCCGGCGCCCGGCAACTGGGCGCCCGTGGAGCTGCAGGTGGACGTGCGCGTGAAGCCCGTGGGCGCGGCCGGCGGCAGCTGCACGCCCTCGCCTGCGCCCTCCCGGCGCTTCATCACGGTCCCGGTGCCCGAGTCCCCCGCCTTCTCCCGCCACGCCGCCCCCGTGTACCCGCTCCTGCCGCGGACCGCGTCCTTGGGCAGCACGTGGAGCCGCGGCTCGCCACTGGCTGCCCCCCGGGCGGAGCACGGCCTCGACGCGGAGGGCCAGAGCAGCCCCACGGAAGGGGACGCGGAGTCCCCGGGCTGCCCCACGTGCCGCCGCCGCCGCCAGGAGCTGGGGAAAGAGGACGCCGCGCTGCTGCAGCGCGCCGAGGCGGACGGCGACCTGAAGCTGCACCCGGCTATCAAGCTCATAGGTACGCGCGCCGCCGGGTCGGCCTCGCAGCCCGAGGTCCCCAACAGCCACCAGCCCTGGGCCCTGCTCTGGAGGGACTAGGGGACCCGGGCGACCTTCCTAGTGTCCGACCCCACCTGTGCTCTCTCTGGCTTGGAACTAGCAGCATTCTGGTCTGCGTAATTATAATTCAAATGGTTTTCGATGAAAGTATAAAACCACTGTTCTTCCCCCTTACGTTCTCCCGACAACTTCCACAGCCCCGGTCTTTGCGCAACATCTTTGAGCAGCCCGGGGGGAGGGTTCCCGGGGAGCGAGCGCAGTCCGCGGCTCCCGGCTCCGGGCCGCCCGCTCGCAGGCTCAGGCTCCCTCTCCGTCCACTGTGCACCGAGGAACACTTGTCTCACCCCCCACCACCCCCACTCATCCCTGCAGCAACTTCTGCTGAGACAGTTAGGGTGTGTGTGCGTTTCTTTGTGGGGTGGGGCAGGGAGGCGATCGGCAGGGAATAAGAAAGAGCCTGGAAATGATAGAAACAAATAAGCAATCCTGGACCGGGAGCCCCGAGGGAGTGGCTGGGAAAGCTTCCTGGAGCTAAGCCTTGGACGGTAAGTAGGAGGGTTGGTGGGTTGGTTGGTTTGTTTTGAGGGGAAGGGTAGTGGTTTCATCTGTATTTTCTTTCTTAAATTTTTTTTATTGATTTTTAGAGAGGGATAGAGAAATAGAAACTTCGGTGAAGGAGAAACATCGTTGATGGGCTGCCTCCTGGGAATGGAGCGGGGAAACCCAGGCGAGTGCCCTGACCGGAATCAACCAGTGACCTAGTTCATGGGTCAATGCTCAACCACTGAGCCACACCAGCCAGGCTGTATTTTCATTTTTTTTTTTTTTTTTTTACAAGGAGAATGTATTTGTTACTTGTGTGATTAAGGATTGCGTTCTAGCCCGGCTGGTGTAGCTCAGCTCAGGGTTTGAGCATCGACCCAGGAACCAAGAGGTCACTGTCCATATTCCCGGTCAGGGTACATGCCCGGAGTGCGGGTTCGATCCCCACCCAGTAGGGGGCGTGCAGGAGGCAGCCGATGGATGATGTTTCTATCCCTATCCCTCTCCCTTCCTCTCTGAAAATCAATAGAAACTTAAAAAAAAAATTGCTTTCTAAAGGGAGTGCGTAGGACTTTTTCTTTGCCTGGAAGTTTGGGAGACAAATGGCTGCGGGGGGCCATCTCCCAGGTCTGCATTGTAGCCAAGTGTGGAAGGTGTCTGCGACTTTAGTAACTTACTGTATTTTTTTACTGCTCTGTTTTCTGAAAGGTTGGAGCTGAATTTACTGTTCCATCACAATATTTATATTTACTGAGGTGGTTGGCAGGGTTATTTTCCTTTGCTTCTCCAGACTTTTTAGTTCTGCTTTTATTTTAAGACTGTCAATTTATGTATCTTTTATTCCACGCAATTTCAAATCGCTTATTTGGGTAACACCTTCACTGAGCTATGACTTACATAACACAATTCACCCATTTAAAGCATACAATTCAATAGTTTTTAGTATATGCAGAGTTGTGTGACCATCACCAGTCCATTTTATAATACTTTCATCACTCCGAAAAGTGCTGTATCTTCTAGCTATCATCCCCCAGCCCAGGCAGCCACTAGTCTACTGTCTGTCTCGATGGGTTTGCATATAACACATGTCCTTTTGTGTCTGGCTTCTTTCACTTAGCACATAGTGTTTTTAAGGTCATCCATGATGTGGTTAGGTCCCGCGGGCCCCCCCTCCCCCCCATCTCCGGAGTTTCTTTCCTCTCTGCAACCTCATGCCAGCCATCTGGTCCCCTGGGGCTTTGGGCTGCTGACAACTCACACTTGCCTAGTGCTCTGCAGCCTGCGAAGTGCTCTCTGGACCTATGAGGCTTCCTTGGTGGCCTCCAGACCCGGACAGACAAAAGAGGCAGGTGTGATTTCAGTGTTAAAACTGAAAACACCAAGAACTCTTGAGTCAGAACTTGAACCCAGGTCTGTCAAACTCCAAATCTAGCCCTCGTTCCTCTCTCATTTGTAATTTTATCTCCGGGTACCTTTGCCCAGTCTATTAGCTGCTTGAGTGCAGGGGCCTTGCCCTGTTCTTGGTGAATTTATACCGTGTCTAGGGCACATTAGCTGCACAGTAAATGCTTGTTAGCCAGTTATTTGTCCTCTTTTTTAAAACTTTTATTTATTGATTTTAGAGAGCTAGGAAGGGAGAGAGCAAGAAACATCGAATTGTTGTTCCACTTATTTCTGCATTTATTGGTTGACTCCTGTATGCACCCTGACCAGGGGTTGAACTTGGCCTTAGCCTATCAGGACAACGCTCTAACCAGCGGAGCCACCTGGCCGGGGCTTGTTCTCTTTCTTGAATAGGATCTTATTTAAGAAGTAAACATCTAGCATTTTTCTCCCAGATAGGCTGTTCTCACCTAAATCGAGTGGCTTATCCTCGTGTCTGGGCCGAGGGTGGGGGTGCTCCTGTGGGCGTGATGCTGGGGTATAAGTCAGTGGTTCTAACCTGTCTCTCCTGGTTGTCCCTTCCCCTCCCCAGGGCTGCCCATGTACATGAAGTCCCTGCGCTGGGCCCTGGCGGTCATGGCCGTGCTCCTGGCCGTGTCCACGGTCGCCATTGTGGCCCTGGCCTCTAGAACAGGTATGGTGCCTCCTCCCAGCTGTGCTTTGACAGGCAATCCGGGGTCAGCCCCTGCCTGGGGGTCTTTGGGCCCCACACAAACTGTACAGCCTTCTGCGGTCCCTGCCCACCTGCTTGCCCCTCAGTCAAGGCGGTGGCCAGGTTTTAATTTTTTTAAGGAGCACGCACTCAGCTCATTAGTTTACCCTGCAGCTCACCTGTGGTCTCTGTTTTCAGGGGCCGTGTGCCGGCCGTGTCCCCATGGCTGGCTGTGGTCTGGGGAGCACTGTTACTACCTCTCTACTGAAGCTCAAGCCTGGGAGGCCAGCCAGGCTTTCTGCTCCGCCCACCATGCTACCCTCCCCCTGCTGAGCCACACCCAGGTAAGGAGGGAGGGAGGGAGGGTAGGCAGTGGAGGGGTGTGCGTATCATTACAGTGTACAGGTTGCTAGCCCTAGAAGGAATCGCAAGGATCTAGTCCAACTCCACATTTCAGAAAAAGTCACCAGGCTTGGAGAAAGACAGTGGCACGCAGGGGCACTAGACTTCCGATCGCCGAGGTCTTCAATTTCCTCTTCATTCTAAGTTGTGGAGGTGGAGGTGGGCCTGGAGGGCCAGAGCAGGGCTGCCCTCGCCCCGTGTGGTGGCCATGTAGCCAACAGGGAGCTCAGGAACCAGTCTGCGCTGGCAGATCTGAGGGGAGACACATGCATACTCTTGGGAGGTTATATGAAAAATTAATTACATTTAGTGGGTATGCTGTTCAGGTCTTGCTATAATAACGCAGGGTGACAAATCACCGCTAAAGTCGGTGACTTTAGCCCACAAGCATGTCTTGATCTGTGGGAGGACTGTCGGGCTGGTCTTGGTTTGTCAGACAGCTCAGCTTCAGATGCAGATTGCGGGGCTGGCCTTGAGCCCAGCGGGTTTACTCCGTGACTCTCTGGTCCTTCTACCCGAGGGAAAGTCTTCATAAGAAAAATGGCAGAAGGGCAAGAACCAAGCACCGGTTAAGGCTTCTGCTGATGTTATATCGGCTAACATTCCATCAGCCAAAGCAAATAACAAGGCCAAGCCCAACGTCACGGGGACAGACAGCATAGGGTCTCCATCCCCTGCGGAGGGGGGAGAAGAGTGACTATTTGCTGGATAATAATCCAACCGGTGGGTTTGAGAGTGGCTATAAAAGAGGACCTTGACTTCATTTTATCTAATTTAGGTGCCAAGAATCTATGTTAGCTGTTCTCTTATCTAAGAAAATGCAGCATCAATAAATCTTTATTGAGCACTTTCTCTATATTGTTTTGGGGGGAGGGTGGAATTCAGTGATGAGCCTGAACAGCACAGCCTCCATCTTTGATGGCTAAGAGAGCAATGAGTGAAGCCGACATTAATCAAGAATTTTAGATCTTTGTATGCATACAATTTTATTTTCTTAGATTGTTCCTGCTCAGTCCTGCAATAAACGATTTCTGCCCCATACCACAGGGAGCGCAACTTCTGTCTTTTTCTTTTCTCTGGAAGAACTCCTGGAAGTAGACATAAAAATCTGCTGGAGAAAATGTTTTACAGTGAACATAAATTATTATATTAGTAGAAATAACATATCTCAAAAAACATGGGGAAATGAAGAAGGTGCAGTGTAGACTGAAAAAATTTCTCAGTATGGTAAATATAGATGTGAAGAATAAACATGCTAATATTTTAATGGTAGTTGGCATGTAGAAGAGGCAAGATTTCGAGTGATATTTGATTTTTTTCTAGCCCATGGAGGTAAGAGATGGGTATAGAACAGTTTCCGCCCAGCCTGGACTGGACCTTGAGTTCTTATCATTGTGAGATGAGACCAGGCTGGGCAGAGAAACCTATCCAGGCCCCTGCATCAAAGGACCCAGCCTGATCACACCTGCAAGTTAAAAACCAGTGGGAACATGGGCAGGTCCCTAGACGGCTTGAAGCTGGGGAGGGAGCCTAGCAGGGCAGGGACTTGGCAGCTCTGCATAATTTTTCCATTTCCTGAGACAGAGTCACTGGGCACAGCAAGTGTCATCAGAAAGCCAGTGCCCTTCAGGCCTTCATCAGTCATGGTCAATCCAGAATGACCTTGGACCTCAGCTGAGCAATGGCCTCCTGGCTAGTGGGTCCTCAAAAGGGGAGCCAGGTTTAACAGATTAAAAAAAAAAAAAAGCACACAGGATCAATCGATTGAAACATAAGTAAATATTCAGAAAATATGTTACAGGGCCTGGATAAGCTCCTTCCAAAAAAGAGCTTCTAAAAAGCCCCTTGCAGAGAGACCCACACTAAGATTTGGGTCCAGGCAGTTAAAATCCGGCCTGTGATGACTGAGCTCTGGAATCCTCCCCAGGTTTGGACCAGGGCCAGAAGCTCCAGGAGGTGCCGAGCCAGGGGTGGGGAGCACAGGCTGGCAAAGGCCAAGCTTCCTGAGCTGGGATGCACAAGCCCCAGGACATGCCACGGTACCAGGGAGTGCACACGGCTCATCCCCAGAGCGGGTTTTGCTCAGTTAGCAAAAAGGAGAGTTTCAGGCCACCTATGTCATCTCAGACCCACTCTCCATTGGCTCCATGACAGCTTCATTTTGCAGGGTGAGGAAAGGAGAAGCTACCTTAAATGTACACACCAGCTGTGTAATTTACCACAATTTTAAAAAGTGTATGAAGATATAGAAAATACTTCGCCTGACTTTTAAGGTGTAAAACATGAGATTTCAAGTACATTCTGCCCAGGATCATAATTTCCCTCCCCGCACTGGTGGGAAAGTTGGAGACGCACCCGCGGGAGGTGGCAAGGCCCCAGGATCGCTGTGCCATCATTACCGAGCAGTCCTTTGAGTGCAAGTTTCTGGAATTTATAATTCTTTTTTTTTATGTATTTATTTATTGATTTCAGAGAGGAAGGGAGAAGGAGAGAGAGATAGAAACATCAATGATGAGAGAGAATCATTGATCGGCTGCCTCCTGCACACCCCCTACTGGGGATCGAGCCTGCAACCCAGGCATGTGCCCTTGGCCGGAATCGAACCTGGGACCCTTCAGTCCACAGGCTGACGCTCTATCCACTGAGCCAAGTCGGCTAGGGCATATAATTCTTGACAATGCTTTTCCCACACCACTATTTTTTCTATCAGTGAGAACAGGTTAATGGAGTCTGAGCTGCAAGGGAAAGAGGCCGAATGGAGAGGGTATTGCTGCATGGGACAGGCCAAGGCTCCTGTCACCAGGAGGCCAGAGCTAGGACAGAAAGGCCAGGGTGCCCTTGGCATTGCTGTAAGCATCAGATGAGGTTGTGTGGGGAGCAGGGCGCAAAGCTTTGCACACCACCCAGCAGAGATGGAGCTTCCTCCACAGAGGGGATGTAGTGAGTGTGTACTCTGTGCCCTGGGCTCTATACATGCTATCTCGGGCCTCATTGCAAACATCCCCATTTTACAGTGGACCTTGCTGAAGCTCTGAAAGGCTGGGTAAGCTGCCTTAGGTCACAGCCCAGCAAGTCAACAGAACCAGAGTTTGAACATGGGACAGCCTGGCTCCAAAGCTCTACGCTTCACAGTGACAGCTCGCCTCTAAGCCCTGGTGTGCCTTTCCCAACCAGCGGCTGACCTCTCCCCGGAGGGCAGGTCTGTGCAGCCATGCAGCAAGATGCTTGGGCTGCTCTGCCTTCTGACTCACACCTCAGGGCCAGCCTCATCCTCTCCAGAGCTCCCCTCCCAGCCCTGCCCATGGGCCCCAGCTGGGGGCATGGAGCCAAGAGGAAAAAGCCAGCTAAGGCAGGGCTTGTGTGTGTCCTGCCTGTTCTCATCACTCTCCATTTTCATATGCCGTCTGATCTCTGGGATCTCAGATGGGTCAGCTTAGCAAGGTTACCTGGAAGTTGCTTCTGGCCCCTCACAGCTACTGACTGGCTGGTGCTCCCTTGGGAGTAAGATGTATGTGTGCTTACACCTCTGGGGCACACAGCTGTGGTGGGGGCCCAGTGTTGGCCGGGGCCCTTGGTGGTTACCGGCAGGATCACAGGGAGGCAGTTTTGCTGAGCTGGCCGACTGCTGGGCTCTGATGGTCCATGGTGAGTGAGACTGAAGGATGAATAGGAGTGGCACGGTCATCACTCCAGTACTCACTTGCTAATTCCCAGGGTTAAATAGAGGTTTCATCTTTGTCAACTGAAACCATTTTCTGGGGAAGACCTGACTATGTCGTTAAATCCATTTATACCATCCGCTTCACTAACGTGACTATATGCTTCTTGTCATTGTGGGCGAGGTGCGATTGCTGGTGTGGTCTGCCTTTTCCACAGCATCCTTTCATATTTACATTTTCTTGCGTAACTACATTTTTTATGTCCTTGTCATCTCTAACAGCACTGCAATTTTCCATCGTGTTGCTATCCCATAATTGGCCTGGTTATTTCCCCATTGCTGGGCATTTGGGTGGCTTTCAATTGTTCTTTATAAATGGTACTGTGTTACCTGCGGGTAAATTCATTTACTCCCCTTTATTCTCTTGGATTTACTCCCCAACGTGGAATCACCCATCCAAGTGACTAGAACCATGTTCTTGATCTTGTTATGGGCGTAGCCCCAAGTTATGTTCCAGAAAGACTGGGCCAGTGTGGACCGGCAGCATTGCACCGGGAATTTCAATGTAGAAACACCTTTTAAGTGTAATTGAATTGCAATTGAAAAACAAGTTGAAAATTTTGAATTTAACATTAATACCATGTTTTGTTAAAAATCTGACATCAAGAATAAATCGTTAAAATGATCATTTCTAATAGCTAACACACTTGTTTTCATTCTTGCTGTTCCTCATGTTTGTGTCTCTGTATGTACATACTTTTTCATTATTATAATCAAGCCACAACTGTGATTCAGCTTTTTCACTTTCTGTGACCCTTCACATACTACAGCCCCGTGCTACACCTTTCCCCTGTAGTGCTCCATGGACTTCCTATTTTTTTAATGGTCTTAATCAGTTCTCACACTGAACTGAGACAATGTAACTGGTGCTCTTGCTGGCAGTTATGTTGTTGACCATCTGCCCCCAGGAGGCCCCTGCAGCCTGATCCATCCCATCACTCACCTCCTCCCAGCTTTGCTCATGCCTTTCCCCGCCTCTTCTCGGAGCCTCTTTGCTCCTCTTGCTCAGTAGGGATTGACATTCACATCCCCTCGTCTTGGGGACTGAGATGGGATCGCCCCCATTTCTGGGCCCCATCCTGAGTGCAGCACCTGGCAACCAGCAAGCAACCCATCCAACTTCCCGATTCCTGGTGTTTGGGCAAGTTGGGTTGAGCTGAGTTGCTTCTCTGGCCTGGCCAGCTGAGAACTTACAAAAGTCCCGGTGAGACGAGCCAGCATCCAGAGAAGTGACCAGCTGCTTCTCTCCCTCAGGACTTCCTGGGCAGATACCCTGTCACCATGTACTCCTGGGTGGGGGCCCGGCGAGGCCCCCAGGGCTGGCACTGGATCGACGGGGGCCCCCTGCCACCCCAGCTGTGAGTGACTGTGGGCCTGGGGGGGGGGGGGGGCGCTCCTATCCCTATTCCACTAGCATGGGCTCCCCAATGTGACCAGAGTAACATCACAGCAAGCGCCAAAGGGGGGTTGGAGGCCTTCCCCACTGCAGACACCTCCCCCACTGCCATCTGGAGCCACCATCTCCCGACACTCAGTCCCCCTGCTCCACCCCAGCCTGAATGCCTCTCGGTTAACCCCATACCCATGCTCAGGGCCTGGTTTTGTTTAGTCCCCACCACCCCATCCCTTGTCTAGACCCCCAGTACCATCACCCAAGCAGGACTGGCACCCTGTTCTACAGATGAGAGACATACATGTGTGCGACTCAGAGAGGTTTACTGGTTCACCCAGTGCTGAGCCAGGGGCATCCTCACGACTCCTGCCGCAGGGCTCCTTCCACACCCCGGGCCTGGCCAGTGGGTACGCAGGCTGGAGGGCCTGCGACATCCTGAGCGCCCTCCTTCCTCTCATCCTTCCCCAGACTCCCAGAGGAAGACAAGGACCAGCCGGGTCTCAAGTGCGCGGGCCTGGAGGGAGGCAAGCTCATGGCTTTGGACTGCGCCTCTTCAAGACCCTGGGTCTGTGCCCAGGGGACCAACTGACTGGGGTTCTGCCCATTCCAACCCTGTTGGAGGCATACAGTCCACCACCCCCCTCCCCGGAGGGGAGGCCTGTTCCCTGGACCCAGGATCCCGCCGCTCCCTGCTTGGTGCCTGGGGCCCTGCCTGAGCGAAGTGGGGAGCTGGGCCTCTGTTGCAGGAAGATCGCCTCCGGGGAAGGCTTTCTGTGGCCCATCTTCGCCTCCAGCTGCTGAAGAGGATTTGTTCAGAGACCTTGAGATGGTTTTTTTTTTTTTTGCATTTCTGAGCCTTGGTCTCTCCCTCATGAAAATGGCCATTACCCATTCTCTCCTTTACCTGCTTCATCACAATGCACCCTTCAGTCCTAGGGGAACAGAAAGGATTAGTGATCACAGGTGAGCCCCATCTGAGTGGACATGGAGCCATGAAATGAGTGTTCCACTGGTTTGTGGCCAGAGGGCTTGTCAGCAGTGACATCCTTGCTATAAATGCCGTTTCCAGGCGAGGGGCACACAGCTGATGACCCGTGTCAGCAGGTGAGAAGTGGTGTTCCCCGGAGGAGGAGGGAGGTTGCACACTGATGGCCAAGGCTGGGGCGATGGGGAGGGGATCACCATGGTAGGCGAAGTTCCTGCAAAGCACGGGGTCCGACAGGAGGCTGTACCTGCATCTAATCTTGGTGCTGAACATTCCACACAACTGTGATACAAACTTTCCTTTCCAAATTTCCCTGGGAGAAGCCTGTGTTGGTTCATTTAAACCAGTAGCATGTATAGAATGTATGCGCGAGTCCGCAACAACGCACTTGACAAGCAATGAGTCTTAGAAGCACCCTGGCTCTCATTCCAACAGCAAATTAACCCCAGGGCTTGATAACATGTTTGATTTTCACTCCAAAGCCCTTCTCAGCAGACACTCTGTGCCTGGTGCATCAGGCTGGTTCAACATCAAGAGCCTTTGGGTTCCTCCCAGCTTCAGGGCCTAGTACCAGGGATCCCAGGACACAGGTGCCACTGAGAATCAGCTGTGGCGGTGCCTGGAGTGTGGTGCTGAGGGCTGGAAATCTGAGTTACTCAGCTTCACTTGGTGAAGAAGGGGGGAGTAAGAGAATGAGCTTATTAGGACGTTACTAGTTACTGTCCAAAGTTGGCAAACCAAGAAATCAAAAGTGTAAGCTTATTATTTAGAAATATGGAGACAAGTACCAGAATTGCGAAAATAATTATAAAGCAATTAAAATTGATGACAGAAGTCAGAATCGTGGCTAATAACTGGGCAGAGGAGCCAGGGAACATCCTGGGTGCTGGGCATGGTCTACTCTAGATCTTGATCTGGGTGGGTTGAGTATAGCTGCAGAAAAAAGTCACCAAGCTGTTATGCTTAAGGTTAAAAAGTAACATCTGTCTTTAAAGACCAGGAATAATCATTAGACTGATTATATATATACATATAACACACACACACACATATACTAGAGGCTCAGTGGACAAGATTTGTGCACTTGGGGAGGGGGTTCCCTCAGCCCAGCCTCTCGCAGTCCAGGAGCCCTTGGGGGATGTCCAACTGATGGGGAGTGGGCCTAAGCCAGCAGTCAGACATCCTTAGTGCTGCTATGGAGAGGGAGAGGCTCCTGCCACCACCACTGCACATGGCAGGACTTCTGGCTGAGCCGTGCTCCCCCTGTAGGAGCGCACTGACCACCAGGGGGCAGCTCCTGTGTGAGTGTCTGCCCCCTGGTGGTCAGTGTGCATCATAGTGACCATTCACCGTTCAGTCAATTTGCACATTAGCCTTTTATTATATAGGATATATATATATATATTACATACATCTATATATTTTTTTAAGAAAATTGGTCACTGGGTACATAATTATTTGGGGTCTAAATAGTTACCTGGAGACTGTTAGAAATTTAAAATAAATGCTGAAGTAAATGTTACATATTATCATCACCTGATTCATCTTCCTTCAAAGATTCCTTGGCTCCCTGGCTGGTGTGGCTCAGTTGGTTGAGCGTCGTCGGTGCACCAAAAGGTTGCCAGTTCTATTACTGGTCAGGGCACATGCCTGGGTTTTGAACTCAATCCCTGATGGGACATGTGGGAGGCAGCTGATCAATGTTTGTCTCCCTCTCTAAAAAATCAATAAAAACATTAAAAAATAAAAGGTTCCTTAGCATATTTCTCCACATCTTCCCTTATATGTTTTGGAACAATTTTATGTCTTTTAGTTATTTCACCAACCCAGGTGAGCTCCAGTTCAAAAGCTTTGTCCTTAACTTCATCATGTAGAACTGATTTTTTAAAAACACATCCTTTAGTAGTACTAACTTAAAATCATATTCACATTTTTAAAAAATACACAAGACTCATATTTATGTCCTACTTTGATAAAAAGAGAAATTAAATTTAAAAAAGTTTTTTTAAAAAAGGTCCACAAGAGTCTGATATGCAGCCGGCTTGAGAACTACTAGCTTCAGAAAACAATGCCACCGCTGCCTTTCCCTCCGGCCTGTAATCACCCATCACGGAGGTACATGCTCACAAGTACGTTTCTGCATCACCTTCGGAGCATGTCTTTCCCTTCCTATGAAACAGAAGCTGGAGAAGTCACACAGCAGGTTGGTCTGCGTGGAATTCCTCTGAGTAATGTTTCTAGTCTCTTTCCCACCAGGCACTGCCAGGTGCTATTGTTTGAAATTCACATCTAGCAATGCTGCTACCAGCACTGGCTTGTTCCATGTGCTTTCAAGAACAGCCTCTGACACCGGAGGGCGCAGCAGCCCACAGCCCCTGAGGAGCAGCTCTGGACATCTAGTCTTGAATAGTCATCTTTGTTAAGCACATGGAACTCACCATCCCCCAAGTACGGAGTTTTTGATTCAGTGGGTCAGGGCCCTCACGTGAGGTTTCTACCAGCTTTCTTGGTGATTCTCATGCAGAGGGGCCAGAAGCCACATTCTGAGAAACCCTGTCTAAAAGAGCCCATCTTGCTACCAGAAAAAAATAAAGTATATATGTATATTTTTTAAGTCAACTTTGAGGTCTAATTTGCACCAAAGGAAATGCATTCATCTCAGGAGCACCTGCTGACAAAGGTAGGCACTTGCAGAACCATTGCCAATCAAGATATGGAATAGCACCAATACTCTAGAACGGGTGGGCAAACTTTTTGACTCGAGGGCCACAATGGGTTCTTAAACTGGACCGGAGGGCCGGAACAAAAGCATGGATGGAGTGTTTGTGTGAACGAATATAAATTCAAAGTAAACATCATTACATAAAAGGGTACAGTCTTTTTTTTTTTTTTTTTTTAGTTTTATTCATTTCGACCGGGCCAGATCCAGCCCGCAGGCCATAGTTTGCCCACGGCTGCTCTAAAAAGTTCTCTCACATCCCTTTGCTGTCAACAACCCTCCCTCTTGGACCTTTAGCCCCAAGCAAATAAATCTGCCTTTGATCTCTACAGATTAAGTTTAACTTGTTCCAGGATTTCATATAAAAGAATCGTACAGTATGTACTGCTTGGTATCTGCTGTTTTAGCTAAGTATAAGGTTTTAAAGACTTATTCATGTTGCTGCACTTATCAGTAGGTCTTTGCTTTGTAGGAATGTATCAGGATTTGTTCAGCTCCTCTCTAATTGGTGATACTACGGTTACCTCCAGTTTGAGGCTGTTATGAATATAGCTGTGAACATTGGAATACAAGGCTTTGTGTGGACATAGGTTTTCATTTCTCTTGGGTACCTGGGGTAAGATTACCTGGGGGTGTATGGTAAGGATATGTTTAATTTATAAGAAACTGCCAAACTGTTTTCCAAAGCAGCTGTGCCATTTTACAATCCACCGAAACACAAGAGTTCCAGTTGCTCCACATCCTTGTCAACACTTGTTGCCAGTCTTACACTTAGCCCATTACGGTGGGTGTGTAGTGGAATCTCAATGTGGTTTTCATTTGCATTTTCCTGATGGCTGAGAATATTGAGTTTTTTTCATGAACTCATTGGCCATTCATATATTTCTTTTGTGATTCTGATACTGATGGTCCAGAGACCTATTTAGAGAAACCCCACCTAAAACATCCATGCCCACAGGGCAATGTTTTAAGTGATTTAAATGGAAAATCTAAAATATCTCCCAACTTTGTGAAATAGGGTATTTCAATATGCAGAATTTAAAGAGTGACATGAACACCCATATGCTATCTACCTAGCTCTAACAATAAACATTTTGCCATTTACCCTTATGTATATATAAAATTGAACAATTTGAAAATGTTACAGACATCAACAAACTTCACCCATAAATACTTCAGCTTGCATCTCCTCAAAATAAGGATATTCTTCTATGTAACTGCAATTCCACCATTAACTTAATTTGGGTCACAGAGATTTGAGAAAATGGTTGCCCGAGGCTTCTGAGAAAAGTTGCCTTGCTCTTTAGACACAAAGAAAAAGTTTCATCTGGATATGAGGCTCAGTATGGGGCTGTCACATGGAACTCAACCATGGGAGCCAAGGCACCCTTCATTGTTCAAGCCCATTTGAGTTGGATCTTCTGCTACAGGCAGCCAACAGTATCGACAGAGGAGTGTACTACAGTTGGGACTTTGAGGGCCTCTTTGACTTCCATACTGCCTCGTCTCTCTGATGGATCCTTGACTGAGAGCCCAGTTGAGTCTGAATGCCTTGCTTTCAGCCTAAACCCTACTACGCTGGCCATTAGTTTAGTCTAATCCCAGATGTGCTTGTAGACCAGCCGTGGGCAAACTACGGCCCGCGGGCAGGATCCGGCCCATGTGAAATGAATAAAACTAAAAAAAAAAAAAAAGACCGTACCCTTTTATGTAATGATGTTTACTTTGAATTTATATTAGTTCACACAAACACTCCATCCATGCTTTTGTTCTGGCCCTCCCGTCCAGTTTAAGAACCCATTGTGGCCCTCGAGTCAAAAAGTTTGCCCACCCCTCTTGTAGACCCAGAACCATCAGAAAACATGGTTTCTCTGCTGGTACCTGGAAAAAATGCATGAAGGCCCTGCATACCTGTGGTCCCAGCACCGTTCTGCTGGTAGACCCCTACCTGGTCCCCCAATCAACCTCTGTCATCAAAACCCTGTTCTCTGAGTCCTCCCCAGCATTTCCTAACTCCCCTGAAGCTGGGATTGCTTTTTCTAATTAGAGCAGGCAATGGAAAGAAAAATGAGGACAACTTTGTATTGCCTTATTTATACCCTGGGAAAATCTAAATATCAAGTCAGGATATAATAAAATCAGGATGTAAACAGCTTTTGTTTTTTCAAGTAGAAAAAATTTTTTTAAAAAATATTTAGTTACAGCATATGATGGTGGACTGAGGTTCTGAAGAGTCTCTCAGGCTGTCAACCATCAACCTCGAGAGATGTGATGGTCTCAGATTTACACTCTAAATTCCATGAAGCCTGCATTCCTCACACTTAGGGGAACAAATTAAAAATGGTTCTTGAAAGGTGGTCTTAGATAATTATACTCACAGACACTAATTTCATTATTTAATGTATTTTTGTTCCTCAGACTTTCTAGAATCACGTGATACCTGTTTAAATCATAGTGGGTATATACAGCTTTTCAATGCAGAAATAGCCTCATTATGTTAGTTATACCATGTTTTTATTTCAGTTTGCTAAATGAGAAGAAATACAAAACAAAAACAAATGAAAACCCCAATTTCTTCTGCAGGTCCAGTCTGTCTTGATAGCAGTTGTTACAGACAGCCCTGAAGCAGCTGGAATATAGTCGGCAAGGACCCAGGTGAACAGTTCATCTTGAATCGTCGCAAGTATAATTTGATTTCCTTTGGTGCCTTGCACAGTAAGGCACTATTAATGATATAACAGAATAGAAGGTATGCCCACAGCATAGTTCTAGTGACAATTTACTAAGACAGGTTACAGTTTAATGATGGTGGTGGTGATTGTTTCTTTCACTTTACTATTATTTGTTACAATAAGGGTGTAGCCTTTATATTCCACACACACAAAAGAAAACAAGAAGTGCTTATGAAAAAGTCCCTGCCCCCACCCCCTTTTCAAAAACACCCCGAATGTAGCAATTCAATACAACAGAAAAATCAAGACTTGTTTGATTTCAAATTGTCAATAAAAAAAGCAAAGTATGTAATGCAACAGCTGTTTAACTTTCAACTCTAAAACAAACAAAAATTCCCAATATTTAAATTTCTCCAGCACACATTCCAGTATAAATGCTCTGAACTGTAATCAGCTAGTAATGAATGGAACAGAACCTTAGAAGTTATATTGCTTCCCTACCCCCCTTTCTTTTATAATTAGAGGGTCGGAGGTATTAGGGGATACAAAAGTCAGAGGAAGAAGAATTAAAAAGGAAAATTCCAAAGGCTGCAGTTTGTACTAGAAAGGAAGACAGCATTTTACAAATGCTCAAAAAATCTCAAGACAAGTTACACAATTCATTCACTATCACTCCTACTTGAAAGAATAAAGACCTCTGCGTCTTTTATAAAACTGTATTTTCAGAACTGCATTACAGGTTCACCAGAAACTATAGATGTAGTTTAGGCTTCATCAGGAAAACAAGTTCAGTTCAGATCAAGTTAGATACTGTATATCTAGCCTAGCTGGATCGGTGTCTGGAACTGCTCCCTGTGTCACCCCAAACAGCTGTAAACTAAACAATAGTATGTAACTCCATAGGAAGCTTAAGGATTGAGGATATGTACACAGCTAATTATATCTCCCCTGCTTCGCGCTCTTCAGAGCTCCTCCTGTCTTCTGATCTGCCATTAGCGCTCTCATAGGACCGCTTCTTATCTTTTCGATCTCTGTCACGAGGTGATCTGTCTCTTGAATTCCTGTCTCTGTCACGTGATGCTAAGTCTTGGTCTCTGAATCTTTCTTTTGAGGATCTGAAAAATATTAATTTAAGGAGCAAAATGTGTTGGGGAACCCAAAATCCAAGAGAAAGAATCGGATAAATATTAAGGTATGACTGCTGAAGACATACAGAATATATCCAAGAAAGACAAGAGTCAGTGTTCTGACAGAAAAGAGCACTACCATATCTGGTAAGGGTCTATCTAAAACAAAGACATGGGTGAAAACAAACAGCTAAGGGTGAAAACCATATGCGAAAATTATAGGACATTCTCATTCTGAGAGGCAATCAAAAAAGCTTCCCCAATTCATAGCAAATGCATTTAACATAAGAATTATAGACAATAACTTAAAAAAGCAAAAGGTATTATCTTATTTTAAAATATATAATAGAATGTAGATCCCACATAGGATGGAAATCAATGTCTTAAACAGGGGCTCTGTAAACTTTTTTTGCTGTCTGGTCAGAGTAAATATTTTAGGTTTTGAGGTCACATACAGTCTCTGTGGTGTATTCTTCTTCCTTTTCTTTACCAACCCTTTAACAATGTAAAAACCATCCCTAGGTTGCTGCCTATACAAAAACAGGTTAGGGGGCCAGATTTGGCCTGCAGGGAACTTAGATAAGAAAACTACTCATTTAATGACAAGGTAACCATTCATTATTTTAAAAATCTGCTTTACTCCTCCTGAGTTAGCTCATTCAACCAACAGAAAAAAAATCAGGATGGAAGACAGAAAAATACAATCACACTATTATAAATCTTGATTAACCGTGACTCTTTTTCTTTCTTTTTATAGCAATGGTGGAAATTTATTGAGAAACAAGCACAGACTCCCACGTGAGGAGGGGGAAAGAGTCCCCAACCATGACTGTTTCTTAATACCGCCTCTCTATTCCCACACCCAACTTCAACAAAGTAAATAATAACAAAACAAGCTCATATCAGAGATTCAGTCAGTAGAAAAACCAAAGGACATTACGGGATCAGAATTAATATAGAATTTTCTATACTTTCAACATTTAGAATGAATCAGTACCACATATTATGTTTATTTCATTCTTTATAGGTGAGATAATACTTTTACATAATTACCTCACTTAACCCATGTTCAGAATTTGGATCTGAGGCCTGATTAAGTAATATTTTCAACATCTATGGCAGGAAAAAACTACTACCATACTCAGTTCTAGAAATATAGTTAAAGAGGATTAAACTAAAAAGGTAGAAAGATAAAGTAATGCCAACTTCAAGCATTCTGCTTAATAAGATTTTAATGAGCTTAATTTAAAAGTGATGTGTAAGAAACACCACCACACAGTACACATCTGGCAACATTAATCCTATCCATACTTCATGAGAATGGAATATGGAGATGATGAGTAAGAGGTCAGTAATAATAACTGAAAATCAACTATGAGATGAGCATCAACTAATGCTTTGTGAGAAATCACAATGACTATACACTAGCAGTTTCCATTCACTATTTCACTCAAATTACCAATAGTCCCAATGAAGCAGGTATTCTTACCATCTATCTCTACCTAGTAGACGGGAAAAGAAAGGTAGGATAATTAAATTACTTAGCCCAGGCCACCGAACCCAAGTAGTCTGACTCCAGGGTCTGCACTATATGTCTGAACAGAGTAGGAAGCAGGAAAATGAAAATGGCCCTCATTTACCAAGAGTAACTGTTGCAAGGGAAAGTTCCCAAACAGAATATGCTTATATCAGAGACCAGTATTTCAGCTGGGGCAGGGGAACAACAAATCATTAAAGACTCTTAACTGAGATTTTTACTTTGAAAATTAAACTCAAATATATAGCAATAACTTGTAATAACATATAGGTTTTAATGGCAACTTTCCAATAATTTTTGGTAAAAACAAAGACTATTACTTTGAAAGAATAATTTGAAGATTAGAAGTGCTCTAGAGAAAAACAAAACTTTTACAAAAATAATCCTCTTTAGGACATGCTGAAAATTTAGTAGAGGTATCACGTGTATGGTGGGAAAATGTCCTATACAACTTCATAAATGCAGGAAGCATTAGGGACTAGAATAACACAATCTCAGATGAGCAACCCTTCTATCTCAACCACCATAAAAGAGGTGACAGACACCAGAAACAATGAAAGGTGGGCGGGCTCTCCAGAGTAATTGTCGACCATCCATCAACCAGCAGAATGATTCCCAAAATTTACAGTGCAGTTAAAATTCATAGAGAATTTTTTAAATGCATTTTTCTGGGCATGGCACCGTGCCTACCTACAGTTTTAAGAATTTGAGATAAGTGGCAAATCACACTATCAGAAACTATCCCTTACATAAATTCCCTGCTCATTCTCTACATTTTCCTGATAACACTTTATAATATCTTTTCCTACCTGGTTTTATCTGTTCAAATGATACCCACTTTATTCAAGTTTTATCTACTACCTGAGCCATTTTTTTTATTGCTCTGGAACGTCCCACATCTACACTCCTGTATTAGTTACTCTATGACATACAGTTTAGCACTTTATAATATGCTAGGTTTTATATCAGTCTGTTGTCCAAGATGTTAGTCCTGTGTTCTAACTCACTTGAATAAAGTTGCTCAACTATGTTATATTTGGTATTGTTTACTAGACCTACAGTAGAACGTATACAGTTCTTCCTGATTAAAGTTACCTTAAATAACTTTAAGAACTTCTTGGTTTGCTAAGAGAGTAGAACTTAAATGTTCTCAGCAAAAACAAAAGAGAGAGATAAATATGTGAGGTGATAATTAACTAATGGTGGAAATGTTTTTGTAATGTATATGTACCTCAAATCACCACAGTGCACACTTTAAATATCTTAGAATTTTATTTGCCAATTATACCTCAATAAAGCTGGAGAGGAAAGACCTACTTGGAACAAATCAAGAATATAATAAATATTGATTGACAGCCTATGAACTAACTCAGCTTGTGAGTGGTTTCAGGGAATGGCTGGTTAGGGATCAAAAAAACACAGAAAGTTTAAACAGCATTCTGTGGATTCTGGTTTTTATGTAGCATAACCCATAGACAAAACCAATAGAGACCAGGAACTCAAAACATCATATGCATGTTTAAGAAGAGTTTTCAAGGCCCGGGCCAGTGTTGCTCAGTGGTTGAGCATCGACCTATGAACCAGATCACACACGGTTGATTCCCAATCAGGGCACATGCCTGGGTTGTGAGCTCGATCCCCAGCGGGGGGGCTTGCAGGAGGCAGCAGATTGATGATTCTCTCTCATCATTGATGTTACACTCTCTCTCCCCCACTTCCTCTCTGAAATAAAAAAAAAAGAGTTGTCAAGAAAAAAAGCAACCTGAAGTGTGGTTTATGCTCCACAGAAATGAACTAGCTTAAGGACCATCGTGTAACCTGAGACACTTTGGGAGTTTGGTCTACACAGACTGAGTACTAAGGCTTCACCACATTGTTATCCTTTGTCCCGATGAAATTTCCAGGTCCTTAAACTTACTTCACCCTGGGTCTGCACTCCTTGTATCTTGTGAATTTTCATGTCAAGGAAGAAGTCTAACTTCTTTAAGACTCTGAATCTGCCCTGTCAAGCTAACTGTATATAACAACAACATACTAGAATGTGTCTGCTCTGCGGAAGTGCACCAGCTCAAAGAAGTACGGAAAACATTGTCAAACAAAGCTGAACAATTCAATGAAAGGACTGCTCAGAGCCCCTAATTCATCAATACATACAGAAAAAAAACTCTAAGACTATTGGTACCTAAAATTATTTGCCCATGAAATACGTCATCTTCCCCCCCCCCCCGCCCCCTGCCAAAAACATACCACGCAGAGAAAAGCATAACCTCTGCACATATTTGTTCCAAATGTCTTTCTCTGGCTCATAAGAATATTCTTTCTGAACTACCCATACAATCAGGGAAAAAACTGTTAATACACCCACACACAAATGTGTACATATTACCAGATGCAAGTTTCAAACCAATAGTATTCCAATTCTAAACCATAAAGGTAGTTCCATGTCCTCTTATGGACACCTCAGTACCTCCTCCTGGATCGCTCTCTGCTTCTGTCTCTAGAACTGTGCCCACTTCTCTGGTGGCTGCGGCTGCGACTTCGACTGCTAGAGCGAGATCTGTGGCGGTGGCGCTTCTCCCGAGATTTAGACCGAGTTCTCCTCTTCCGTTCTCGTGACATGGAGCGAGATCGATGTCGGCGATGCTCTCTGGACCTGGATCTATAAAAAAAACACTTGATTTACTTTTTAGCTTTGTCAACACTACACTGCTCATTGACTAAAGCCTCTCTTTAAACAGAAACTATCCCTTAGTAGCTTTGCTTAATGCCAATTCTATTCAAGTCAACTAAATCCACACTAAAACTGCTGGTATCCTATATAATAAAAGGCTAATATGCAAATCGACCAAACGCCAGAATGACCAGTTGCTATGACATGCACGGAGGTCAATCAATAGTGTATAAATTGCCCTGGCTGGTTTGGCTCAATGGACAGAGCATAGGCCTGCGGACTGGGGGGGTCCCAGGTTCAATTCCGGTCAAGGGCACATGCCTGGGTTGTGGATCAATGATTCTCATCGCTGATGTTTTTATCTCTCTCTCCCTCGTCTTTCCTCTCTGAAATCAACAAAAAAATATTTTTAAAAAAATGTTTTTTAAAAAAGTGTATAAATTTACATCAGGAGCCAAAACCGGTTTGGCTCAGTGGATAGAGCGTCGGCCTGCGGACTGAAGGGTCCCAGGTTCGATTCCGGTCAAGGGCATGTACCTGGGTTGCGGGCACATCTCCAGTGGGGGATGTGCAGGAGGCAGCTAATCGATGTTTCTCTCTCATCGATGTTTCTGACTCTCTATCTCTCTCCCTTCCTCTCTGTAAAAAATCAATAAAATATATTTTAAAAAAAAAAATTTACATCAGGAATATAAAAAAAGGAAGGAAACCAATCTGTATCACTACTACACATCAGGGATTGTATTATGTAGGATTATTGTAGATTCTAGATGTTTTATGGAATAAATTTCATTTAAACTTCTAAGACTTTTAGTATACTTTAGATAAAGCATGTACCTGATGGACATGGATAGAAGGGAGAAGAGGCATGAAAAAAATATTGTTTAGAATAAACTTCAGCTCTCTGGATTAGAGAGGTTTTGTATGACCACTAAAGTAAGTTTGGCCCAGCTGACATGGCTCAGTGGTTGAGTGTTGACCTATGATCCAGGGGGTCATGGTTCAATTCCTGGTCAGTGCACACACTTGGGTTGCAGACTCGATCCCCAGTGGGGAGCACGCAGAAGGCAGCCAATCAATGATTCTCTCTCATCATTGATGTTACTCTCTCCCTCTCCATTCCTCTCTGAAATCAATAAAAATATATTTAAAAAAAGAAAGGAAGAAGTTTGAATGTCCACAATATGCCTAGTCACAGTATAATCCAAACAGAATAAGACAGCCCGGCTAGTGTGGCTCTGTGGTTTAGCATCAACCTATGAATCAAGAGATCACGGTTGGCCGAAACCGGTTTGGCTCAGTGGATAGAGCGTCGGCCTGCGGACTGAAGGGTCCCAGGTTCGATTCCGGTCAAGGGCATGTACCTGGGTTGCGGGCATATCCCCAGTAGGAGATGTGCAGGAGGCGGCTGATCGATGTTTCTCTCTCGTCGATGTTTCTAACTATCTCTCTCCCTTCCTCTCTATAAAAAATCAATAAAATATATTAAAAAAAAAAAAAAAAAAAAAAGAGATCACGGTTGGATTCCTAGTCAGGGCACATGACCAGATTGTGGGCTCAATTCCCAGTAGGGGGCATGCAGTAGGCAGCCTATCGATTCTCATCATTGATTTCTCTCTCTTTCTCCCCCCCACCCACCTTCTTTTTCCTGAAATCAATAAATCAATAATATTAAAAAAAAAAAAACCTAGAAGGAAAAACACTTCTGTAGCCTCCACTTGGTCACAAAACTAACTTGTATATTGTGTGTGGTGAGAGGATGGCATATGCGGAAGACAGAGAACTGAGGGGAAAAAATGAGAAATAAAGGTATGAAACTTTGTTAGAAGAGTCACTTAATATAATAGTACAAAAGCACATTATTCAGGTGTTACATGTGCAAACTGATTTTATTTTCCAATGATTATTTTGTTCAGTGAACTTTAAAGCATTTAGTATATGTCAACATTATGGTCAAAGAAAGGCACATACTGTGGACATTAACAACCATAACTGAATAGAGTATTTCACACTTGACAAGAACATTTCTGGCCCTGTCCAGTTGGTTGGGCATTCTCTCAAGTAGCTAGAGGTTGCTGGTTTGATTCCTGGTCAGGGCACAGGTTTTGGGCTCGATTCCCAAAGGGGCATGCAGAGGCAGCCAATCGATGTTCCGATTTTACATTGTTTTTCTTTCTCTTTCCCCCTTCCCTTCCTCTCTCTCTAAAAATCAGTAAAAATATTTGTATTACATTTTTATTGATCAAAGAGAGGAAGGGAGAAGGACCGAAAGATGGAAAAATGAGAATCATTGACTGGCTGCCTGCTACACGCCCTAGTGGGGATTGAGCTCACAACTTGGGCCAGGAATCAAACCATGACTTCCCCATTCGTAGGCCAAGGCTCAACCACTGACCAACACCAGCTAGGCAATAAAAAAGATTTTTTAAAATATTTCTGATAAGAAGCAGGGGGAGCCTTAGGCGGTTTGACTCAGTGGATAGAGTCAGCCTGCACACTGAAGGGTCACAGATTCAATTCTTGTAAAGGGCATGTACTCTGGTTGGGAAATCTTTGGGAGGCAAACATTTAATGTCTCTTTCTCTCTCTGTCTCTCATCGATGTTCTCCTGTCTCTCCCTCTCCTACTCTTTCTAAAAATCAATGGGAAAATATCCTCAGGTGAGGTTTAACAAAACAAAACAAAATTATTTTGTTTTCCATATTTCTTGGAGCTGGTGCACATCCACAGAGCAGACACATTCTAATATACTGTTGTTTAATCTGCACAATAGGTATGCGTTGTTAAATACAGTTAGCTTCACAGGGCAGATTCAGAATCTTAAAGAAGTTAGATTTCTTCCTTGACATGAAAATTCACAAGATACAATTTTATGCAGGGGGGAAGAGCATAAAATTCATTCAATACAAGTTTTGCCAAATTATATTTTGGTTAATCACTCATTTTGAGCTATTATAATAAATCTACTTCTTTCAATGTATTACTTCATGTATCTTTTTAAAGTTATCCATCATTCAAAAAATATTTACTGGATGCCTACTGCATTGTTCTAAGATTGTGTTGCAATTACACGGGTGGGCAAGAGTATGTTTATAGTTTTAAGGGAAACACAGTTTATTCTTGTATTGATACTTATTAATTACTGTATTTTACACACAAACAATTGTAAACCTACTTTTGACCAACCCATATATTCCAGATATGTGGGCAATAAAAATAGGTGAGGTAGTAAAAAAAGAAATGGAGTGTCTTTGGAGGACTTAAACAGAGCTGACAAGATTTATTTCACTTATACAAATCGTTTAAATACTTTTGTCAGCAAAGGTAACCAGCTTGCATTAACCAACCAATGAACAGAACAGTATCATCACTTGATGCTTATCCTTCTACTCTGGATGTGAGAAACTCACATCGTAAATAGCTAACACACCTGTCCTCTTTGTTTACTAATGCCTTAGTTTTTTTTTTTTTTTTTTTTTTTTTTTTTTTTTTTTTTTTTAAATATATTTTATTGACTTTTTACAGAGAGGAAGGGAGAGGGATAGAGAGTTAGAAACATCGATGAGAGAGAAACATTGATCGGGTGCCTGCTGCACACCCCCTACTGGGGATGTGCCCGCAACCAAGGTATATGCCCTTGACCAGAATCGAACCCAGGACCCTTCAGTCCGTAGGCCGACACTCTATCCACTGAGCCAAACCGGTTAGGGCAATGCCTTAGTTTTTTAGTGCTTTAAGCAGAACAATAACTGAAAGGCTAAGAAGCACTTAGGGGCATCTAAAACATATAAGGTTTTGTTTTTTAAAAAAATGTATTGATTTCAGAGAGAAGAGCGAGAGATAGAAACACCAATGATGAGACAGAATCATTGATTGGCTGCCTCCTGCAGCCCCCTACTAGGGATTGAGCCCGTAACCCAGGCATATGCCCTTGACCAGAATCAAACCCGGGACCCTTCAGTCTGCAGGCCGACGTTCTATCCACTGAGCCAAACCAGATAAGGCAGGTTTTTCTTTTATAAAGACAAATGCTCCAGTTTAGAGGGAAAAGTTCTTGGGAAATAGTTACTCATTAGAATTAGGAGTACTTAGAATGTTTCAAAAAAAATGTCATCTGAACAAGAGGAATACTAGAATTTCAGTAAGAATGAGAAAGGGCATTCTAGGTGGGAATAAATTCATGAGAAAGAGTCAAGAATAAGAATGAGAATGGCAAGTGAAGAATTAAGAAAGATAAAGTACACCATGTTTTCCCACCTTTCTCAGATAGAAAACAGTTATTAGTAGCTAGTAAAAATTGTACAGAAAGGCTTCAAAAAGCCCCCAAATATGAAATTCAGAAGTCAAAGAAAAGTGTTATCATGTCCTTTTCCTCTTGAAGGCTTTGAGTGCCCCTTTCAAGCTTTTTGTGATCAGTTACCAAGGGTAGTAAAGTACTAACTCATAGAAAGTCAAGATTGAGGCATAAAGTAAACATTTTATTTTTAATATGTTTTTATTGATATTTTTAGAGAGAGAGAGAAAGGGAGAAGGGGAGAGAGAGAGAAACACTGATATGAGGAACAGCGATCAGCTGCTTCCCGTTTGCACTCTGACAGGGCATTTTCATATGTGCCCTGACCAGCAATCGAAATGGTAATGGTGACCTTTCAGTGCACAGTTCACAGTACACACTGGCCAGGGCTAAACTAAATATTTTAGTTTCCCTTACTAACCCACCATGAACCTCTCATTCAAAAATGTATCCAATTATTTAACCTACTTACATTTTCAACACCTCTTAGAATGTTTCTTAGATGCACCAACCAAATTGATTTAAAAAAAAAACACAATATCCTGTCACATATTTACCCTGAGCTTCTAAAGATTTTAAAGAAATACTCTGGCCCTAGCTGGTTTAGCTCAGTGTTTAGAGCATTAGCCTGTAGACTGAAGGGTCCCGGTTTCAATTCTGGTCAAGAGCACATGCCCAGGTTGCAGGCTCAATCCCCAGTAGGAAGCGTGCAGGAGGCAGCCAATAAGTAATTCTCTCTCATTATTGGTGTCTCTATCTCTCTCTTCCTTCCTCTCTGAAATCAATAAACATTTAAAAATAATTTTAAGAAGCTAACTTTGCCTTAAAAAAAAAAAAAAGTGCACACAAATGCCAATTAAAAAAAGAAAGAAATACTCTGGCCCAGCCGGTGTGGTTCAATGGTTGAAAGTCGACCTATGAACCAGGAGGTCAGGTCACATGCCCAGGCGGTGGGCTGATCCCCAGTAGCGGGCATGCAGGAGGCAGCCAATCATTGATGTTTCTATCTCTCCCTTCCTCTCTGAAATCAATAAAAATTAAAAAAAAATTTGAAAAATAAATATTCTGAAATGTTTTGTTTTCCCCCTAACTCCAGGGCACTGTTTACATAATTTTACTTTGATAAAACTAAACTATAGTGCATGCGTATCTTCTGAACAGTTTCTTCTCAAAAGATACTGCCTGAACTTGAACTACAAAAACATTAAGTGTACTAATCTATTAACTCTCGTTCATTTTTAAAAGGCATTTTATCTATAACACCCATATTTGGAAAAAAAAAAAACAGCTTCACTGCTTAACTTGTATTATACCTACCTTTTGGGATTCTTGCTATGTGATCGAGACCTAAAAAAAAACAACAATAAAATCTATTTTTAGAAAAGTAACTATAAATGGGAATAAGTATGCTGGGCTGTTAAAAATTACATTCTTTTTGATTTGTAATTTTTATGTTAATTTTATAAATATAAGGCATGTGTATGCACAGAAAATTTTTCAAAATACACCACAAACTCTACAGACTTCCCCACCTTGGCATATGAATTCTCTTAACTAAGAAACCTGGTTCTTAACACAGTACATCACAACTCACTAATTCTCCAGAAACCACTTACTTTCCAACGCTGGAAAAATTCACTGTCATTTCTTCCTTCCCTCTGGGAACAGAATAAAATTTCTATGATCTGAGATGTATACACTTTGGATCTGCAAACTCATACTATAATCTCTAGAACACCCAAATCAATCTTATAACATGTTTTCCCTCCCTCCCCCCTTCCTTTCTCCCCACCCAAGGGTATGTTTTATTGTTTTTTGAGAGAGAGAGGAAGGGGTAGAGAAAGAAACATCAATATGAAAGAAACACTGATCAGCTGCCTCCTGCATGCGCCCCAACTGGGGATTGAACTGGAAACCTTTTGGTATACAAGATGACACACCAACCAAGCCACCAGGCCAGGAGGCACAACATGACACATAAGACACTCTTATATTTCCTAGCACACAATTAACACTTAATAGATAGTAATAGCCAATATTATAGTTTTTTTGTGGAGACTATAAAATGGTGGAAGCATGGCTTTGGAATCAGCCTGATGTTTCAACTCTGGTTCCCCCACTCACCATCTGTGTGACCTTGGCAGACATATATATTCCCCTCAGCTTAGTTTGTCATTTGTAAAAGAGGGACAGTGATATCAATTTCACAGGGGGTTGTAAAAATTAGATGAACTGCTAGAGATAAATTCTTAGCACAGTGCCTGGAAAATAGCGCTCGTAAGTAATAGTAATTTTCTTTTTTTAATATATTTTATTGATTTTTTACAGAGAGGAAGGGAGAGGGATAGAGAGTTAGAAACATCGATGAGCGAGAAACATCGATCAGCTGCCTCCTGCACATTTCCCACTGGGTATGTGCCCGCAACCCAGGTACATGCCCTTGACCGGAATCGAACCTGGGACCCTTCAGTCCGCAGGCCGACGCTCTATCCACTGAGCCAAACCGGTTTCGGCAGTAATAGTAATTTTTATCATTACCCTTTTCAGTACCACAGCTGGAATCCTATGCGGTATAATTTTGAACTCACTTGTAATTTCCTCATCTTCCGTACTTAGCTATAATACTTCAGTTCATATATAGATTAAAATTTTTAAAAAAGCATTACTGAAATACACTGCGTTTATAATTATTGTTTAAAAGAATTTGTCAAGTGGCAACAGAGAAGATGCAATGTACTTTCTTGTCATCTACAAATGTGAAAATGTACTTCAGCAAAGAATATTTTTTTTCTCATTTGATTTACCTCTGTTGAATCATTTATATTAGTGGCACTACATTCAGTTGAATTTTAAGTTAAACTGAGATTTCTAATGCCATTTATATTATTTTAAATATTACAATATTGGGCAATATCACCATCTGAGTACACAAAAGAGAATAGAGCTAAAGCTGTGAGGTGAACTTTATGGTAAATGAAGAACATATACATCAATGGAGGAATGACAGCACTTCCCCAAAGAGGAAGATGGCCCGGCCATCATGGCTCAGTGGCTTAGTGTCAACCTATGAACCAGGAGGTCACGGTTTGATTCTCAGTCATAGCACATGCCCAGGGCTGCAGACTCGATCACCAGTAGGAGGTGCAGGAGACAGCCAATCAATGATTCTCTCTCATCACTGATGTTTCCTATCTTTCTCCCTCTCTAAAATCAATAAAAATATTAAAAAAAAAAAAAAGCTTGGAGGAAGTTGGCATGACCTATACGTATTATCAAGGGTAAGGCATTTAAATTTCAGAGATGTGTAAAACAATTAAGGGAACACTATAAATTAGAACTACACATGTGGGAGAACCAAGATGGTGGCATAGGTTAACGCTGGAGTTTGCTGCCTTGAACAACTACTTCAAAAGTGAAACTAAAAGACGGAACGGACATCACCCAGAACCACAGGAACGCTGGCTGAGTGGAAGTCCTACAACTAGGAGGAAAGAGAAATGCATACGGACACTCAGAGGAGGCACAGTGCTGAAGTCAAATTCTGAGGTGCGGAGTGCGCGGAGCGGGCTGGCGGCGGAGGGCGCGGTTGGCGTTTTCAATCGGGAGGGAGTCGCAGACTCTGAGCTCCAGATACGGGCGAGTCTTTAGGGACCCAGACTCAAACGGGAGAAGCGGGACTGTCTGGCTTCGGTCAGAGCGAGTGCAGCTTTCTCTCCGAGGTTTGCAGCGGGTGCTGGGACTCAGAGAGGCAGAGCCCCTGGGGACAGGACTGAGAGCCGCCATAACTGCTCTCTCCGGCCCACCCTGTTGATCCTGTGCGACCCGCCCCGCCCAAGCCCTGCACAGAGGCATTTGCTGGATAGCCTCAGGCAAAGGCTAGATTAGCACCTCCCTAGAGGACAGAAGTTCTCTCACTGCTGACACAGCTGATTCTCACAGCCACTTGGCCTGGAGGTCAAACCCTCCCTGGTATTAGCTACAACAATCAAGGTTTAACTATAAGACTGCGCACAAAGACCACTAGGGGGTGCACCAAGGAAGCATAACAAAATGCGGAGACAAAGAAACAGGACAAAATTGTCAATGGAAGATATAGAGTTCAGAACCACACTTCTAAGGTCTCTCAAGAACTGTTTAGAAGCCGCCGATAAACTTAATGAGATCTACAAGAAAACTAATGAGACCCTCGATGCTATATTGGGGAACCAACTAGAAATTAAGCATACACGGACTGAAATAACGAATATTATACAGACTCCCGACAGCAGACCAGAGGAGCGCAAGAATCAAGTCAATGATTTGAAATGCGAGGAAGCAAAAAACACCCAACCGGAAAAGCAAAATGAAAAAAGAATCCAAAAATGCGAGGATAGTGTAAGGAGCCTCTGGGACAGCTTCAAGCGTACCAACATCAGAATTATAGGGGTGCCAGAAGATGAGAGAGACCAAGATATTGAAAACCTATTTGAAGAAATAATGACAGAAAACTTCCCCCACCTGGTGAAAGAAATGGACTTACAGGTCCAAGAAGCGCAGAGAACCCCAAAGAAAAGGAATCCAAAGAGGACCACACCAAGACACATCATCATTAAAATGCCAAGAGCAAAAGATAAAGAGAGAATCTTAAAAACAGCAAGAGAAAGAAACTCAGTTACCTACAAGGGAATACCCATACGACTGTCAGCTGATTTCTCAACAGAAACTTTGCAGGCCAGAAGGGAGTGGCAAGAAATATTCAAAGTGATGAATACCAAGAACCTACAACCAAGATTACTTTATCCAGCAAAGCTATCATTCAGAATTGAAGGTCAGATAAAGAGCTTCACAGATAAGGAAAAGCTAAAGGAGTTCATCACCACCAAACCAGGATTATATGAAATGCTGAAAGGTATCCTTTAAGAAGAGGAAGAGGAAGAAAAAGGTAAAGATACAAATTATGAACAACAAATATGCATCTATCAACAAGTGAATCTAAGAATCAAGTGAATAAATAATCTGATGAACAGAATGAACTGGTGATTATAATAGAATCAGGGACATAGAAAGGGAATGGACTGACTATTCTTGGGGGGGAAAGGGGTGTGGGAGATGCGGAAAGAGACTGGACAAAAATCGTGCACCTATGGATGAGGACAGTGGGTGGGGAGTGAGGGCGGAGGGTGGGGCGGGAACTGGGAGGAGGGGAGTTATGGGGGGGGGGAAGAGGAACAAATGTAATAATCTGAACAATAAAGATTTAATTAAAAAAAAGAAAAAAAGAAAAAAAAATGATACAATATGTAAAAGTATAAGGATATTCAAAAGACTAGAGAGAGCATTTGAGATCTTGCTTCTAGCATATGTCATCACCTTGGCTCAAATAAACTCATTTAAGAAAAAAAAAAAAAAAAAAAGAACTACAGGTGAATCTTTTGTGGCATACCTGCCCATCCTAAAATTGTTGAAATTATGAACAACACATACAAAGAATGTTGCCACCAGAGTGCCAAGCAGTTTGTTGATAATGAATAAAAGTAACCCAGAACATTTAAACATTGTAAAAATGAAGATTTATATGATTCTATCAACCAATACCAATATAAAAATAACTATTAATACCAATTAAAAATAATTTATTATTAAATAAACATTTTAAAAGTTTATAGCCCCTAGAATTGAGTGTAGAATGAAAGTAAATTTAATCAATAAAACAAAAAACCCAAACGTTTTATCAAGCATAAAATATATCATAAAAATAGTTCCGTGCCAACCTGGTACAAATCTATTCCATCATGAAAATCAGGGGGCTAGAAAAGAGTTTTACATAGCTTACAAAACAAAGATGTGACTCTCTATTACTTCTTTAATACACTTTAAAGGAAAAAAGGGCCTTGACTTTAATGGCCATTACGTTAACATACTTGCACAAACACTGTTTTGCATGGTAGCATTTTAAAGAGTAAACAAGATTTCCCATGTCTACATTTGCTAACATCTAAAATCTTATACCAATCACATCTCAAAGTTGAAACAAGAGTTTCAACTTCAAATACTTGGACTATTCAATTCATCCATCACTCCATACCTCCTCAACTTTTCCCTTTCTTCTCTCTCCCTTTCTTCTCTTCGCTTCAGGCGTTCCTGGTTTCTTTTCTCCTGCTTCTCAGCTACCACTCTCTTAAAAGACAAAAAAAAAACAAAAAACAAAAAAACTAAGTTTAAATAATAATAAATGAGAAGCATTATTTATTGGGTCCATTCTTAATGAGCATTATCCTAAACTTTAGCCAGATCTGGTTTCCAATATTGTACAAGTAACATCAAAATCTGCTAATAACAATTCAATTTTGATAAAGAAAATCATTGGACTTACAGGTCTGGTTTCTAAAATCTTTTATCTTTTTGTAAAATTTATAAAATTTCATGGTCCTCCATGACTACTTCTATTTTTTTTTAAATTTACTTGTTGATTTTTAGAAAGACAGAGGCAGGAGAAAAAGTGAGGAGAGGGTGAGGAGAAGGGGAAGGGGAGAGGAAGAGAGAAACACTGATTTGTTGTTCCACTATTTGTGCATTCTGGTTGCTTATTGTATATACCCTGACCAGGGATCGAACTCGCACCTTGGCGTATCAGGATGACACTCTAACAGAACTGAAAATTAGTTCTATAAATTTTTTCTCCTCTGAATACTTTTTGGCATTATTTTGTATTTTTTTAAAAGAAATCAACCATTATAAATCACAAGTTCCCATGCTCTATGATTTCCAATATAGAAATGTTTTGTCACTTCCAATTACCATCCTGATGCTGCTGTTTTAAAAACAGCAAAATGCTAAACTGTTCTGTTGCTAGGTCTATCTGCAAAGACTCCCAAGTAGGTATCATTTGCCATACTGAAACTCATTTCGTCATTTTTTTAAAACTTACCTGAGCGAGATCATCTTCGCTACTCAGAATACAGAGCCACTATTAACTACAATACTCATCCACTCTGTTTATGTTTAACTCCTCAGATATACCTTTTGTTTGCTTATCCTCTCAAAAGAACTCAGCAGATAAGAACTTGTTGCCTTTCTCAGGACAGCTTACATATTTGACAGTGATTGTCCATTTTTAAAAAATAGGTTTCATTCTAACTTCTTTCTGAAATGGAGGCAGGAGTGTAAAATAAAACCAAAGGTCCTACCAGATTGCTATGTAGTGAAGAACTGCAAAATATTTCAACTAAATATTTGGTTCATTTTCTCAAACTTCCTTTAGAGTAAATATTATATTACTTATTTTATAGGAAAAAGAGAAAAACTTAGGGGACTTTGTATAAAATAGTTTAAAACCAGTTTCCAAGATTCCTACTCCGTCATATTCAACTATTACCTCCAAGAATAGGGGAATAGTAATTAAAGGTCTGTCTCTCAAATATTATCCATTAAACCAATGGTATCTCCATTTGAAATCCTACACTATTCAGTATGAGTTGTGAAAGGGACTCACGGTCAAGATTACTATATGAAAAGACTACTAATACAGATCAAAAGAATGAGTGGTGCTGAAACCAGTTTGGCTCAGTGGACAGAGCGTCAGCCTGCGGACTGAAAGGTCCCAGGTTCGATTCCGGTCAAGGGCATGTACCTGGGTTGCGGGCACATCCCCAGTAGGAGATGTGCAGGAGGCGGCTGATCGATGTTTCTCTCCCATCGATGTTTCTAACTCTCTATCTCTCTCCCTTCCTCTCTGTAAAAAATCAATAAAATATATTAAAAAAAAAAAAAAAAAGAATGAGTGGTTAAATCAGATAAAGTGATACTATTCAATATACCTTTAATTCTTCAAGCTTCTCTCTTATTTCAATAAATCCCAGGTGCAGTTTACCCCCAAAATGATCAGCCAATCGTCTGTCATTATCATGAAGACCTAAATAAGCAGAGCAGACTTCACAGACTCGAAGTTTCTGCTGTTGGAAACTGGAAGCTGGCATAGAATTCCGATACACTTCCTAGACAAAAGTGAAAAACAATGTTCATATAAACTTCATGGAACATCATACAATTAAATAAAATACACTTTTCTAAAGAACAAAATGTTTTCAATGAATACACAAAAGCATGGCATTTTGTCATGAAAATTCTAGATTCTCCATAACCCCCCATCCTCTGTCTCAGGACCTCTTCACTGGGGATAAAAAAAATTGGAGCCCCGAATACTTTTTACCAAGAACTACTGTATCTACCATGATACAGAACACAACTTTCTGAAAGTTTTTCTCAATGTTCTGTTTTCTGTAATTTTTGTTAAAAATGAGATGTAGCAACCCCAAAACTTTATCAGTGAAGGATCAAGGAAGTAGAAGTCGCCCATGCTTGCAGAGAAGGCATGCACGTTTTCTCTATCATTACAGCTTCCTTCCATTGCCTTCTTTCTTACACATCCCTTTGGAAATGTGGATGGGACATACAAATAATAAACTTCCTACTAAAAGTAACAATTTATAAGACAAGTGATGAAAAATGCCTTACTAAGATTTAAATATCTTATACCCAACCATTTTATTTATATTAAGTTCATTAATGAAGTAATTAATATTAGTGGGTTGGTATAACCACTGTATCATTTTTTCCTTGACAGAATTCTGATTTTTGTTTTGAGCATACACAGTTAAAAACATTTCCAAGCTTCTGTGTAGCTCTAAGAAAATATAGATATAAGTGGACATTGCTGGATATAATCTATAGGAAAGTTCTTTAAAAGGGAGTCAATACATTCAGACAAAAGTAACCAATAACCTGTGAATCAAAAAGTGATGGAAAACAGAATACTTACAGTTTCAAAATGTCAATACCAAACACTAACATAGTAACATCATAGTTATGGGACAAACCACTAACATGGGCCTTCTGACAGGATGAAACATTACTTTAGTGGTATTCCTGACAAAATCTAACAAAAATCAGACAAATCCAAACTTAAGGACATTTCACAAAACAAATATGTGATCAGCTCGTCTCTAGAGTACACAGTAAAAAGTGATCTCTTGAGCTTCTTGCATATTTTCCATTGCGTTTAGTGCAATACCATAAACATTAATAACATGGCACCCAAATGATTCTCTCTCATCATTGTTTCTCTTTCTCCCTCTCCCTTCCTCTCTGAAATCAATTAAAAAGAAATATATATATATATATATAATGATGTCTCCAATACTGTATTATGAATATCACTTAGAATACTGTATGCCATTAAAATTTTTTAAAAATATTTTTATTGATTTCAGAGAGGAAAGGAGAGGGAGAGAGAGAGAAACATCAATGATGAGAATCACTGATCAGCTGCCTCCTGAAGCCCCCTACTGCGGATCGAACCTACAACCAGATATGTGCCCCTGACTGGAATCGAACCTGGGACCCTTCAGTCCACAGGCCGACACTCTATCCACTGAGCCAAACCAGTCAGGGCAGTATGCCATTAAAATTTTGTGATGATTCATTAGTGTATAGGCTAGGCTACTGTGACGCAATCTTATTGATTATACTAGGCCAGATATTTTCAACCGGTATGCCACAAAAAATTTTAAAACATGCAATACCTGACTATTTAGTCAGGGGCACTGACCTCTTTTCCCTTAGATTGCCAAGTAAAAAAATGACAATAGCCCTAGCCAGTGTGACTGGGTTGGTTGAACTGTGGTTCCATACACCAAAGGGTGACAGGTTTGATTCCTGATCTCGGTACATACCCAGGTTGCGGTTCGATCCCACAGTTGGGGCTTGTAAGGGGGGCAATCAATTGATGTTTCTCTTATATCGATGTCTGTCTGGTCTCTCCCCTCTCCCTTCCTCTCTCTAAAAAAAAAGGCTTTAATAAAAGACTTAAAAAAAAAAAAAAAAAAACCCCAAAAAAAACCAGCCAACACAATAGCCATTGAGTGTAAATGAATTAAAATTATACAGATTGGCAAAAAATATATTTTTGGTGTGCCATGGAATTTTAGTAATTAGTTTATGTGTGCCATCAGATGACTATTACTGCTTCTCCATTATTTTAGCATGAATTATTATTATATGTGTAAATAAACATAAAGTTCTTTTTCACATTATCTTTTTCATTTCTGATGTCTAGTGTTAGTCATATGTTAAACAGCTATAGTATTTTGTATCATGTAAGACAGTATTGATGTTGGTACTGAAGATGAAGCAGATGACAAACTTACGATATCGATAAATGCAGTGTAGTAGTATATTTTCATTTCACTACCTTACTTTATTGTAAGAATATTGTATATAATACTTAAACATACAAAATCTGTGTTAATCAACTGTTTTTGCTATCATAAACAGTTGGAAGAGGAGGAAGAGGAAGGAGAGGAGAGGAGGACGGGAGAGGAGGGTAGGAAGGAGAGGGGAGGGGAAAAGAAATCACAAGCAATAATAGGTAAATATTTTTAATTGAATTACAATGAAAATCTGTGGGATGCAGCTATAGTTGTGCTTAAAAGAAAACATATAACATTAAATGGTCTAAAATCAATGACCTAAGCTTCTGCCCAAGTCTATAACAAATTAAACCCAGGTGTGATGCAGTTATAAGCAATGGAGACTACTGCAAAAGTGGAAAATATAATCTCATATGAAGGCATTCAATTTCTTACAAAACAAAATAGAATTTGGGCCAAACATAATAGAACTTTGTGTGCAGGATATCAGATTTTAACTGTGCTGTGGAGGAAGAGCTGAGGCTCCCAAGGTGCTAGCGGACTGTACTGAGGTGGGAAAAGAAGGGAGAATGCTACAGTTGCATGGATGTAAAATGGAGAATAGGGCATCATAGTAACCACATATATGCAGTGTGTGTGCACGCGCACACAGACACAAATGACTGCTGTATATGACTAGTTAGTTAATTTTATTTACCAGTTATAAATTTCCTTTCAATGGCTCCAAATTCCAAAAACCACAAATTTTGATATATAACCCATCAGTATGACATGGACTAATTACATATGTTCTGAGAAGTACATACTGCCCTGGCCAGTTTTGTTCAGTGGTTAGCTTGCCAGTCTGGGGGCCAAAAGTTCTTAGGTTCAATTCCAGGCCCAGGGCATGTTACCTTGGTTGCAGGTTCAATCCCTGGCCCTGGTCAGGGCTTAAGCAGGAGGCAAACAACCAATATGTCCCTCTCACATCAATGTATCTCCTCTCCTCTCCCCTCCCCTTCTCTCTCCCCCTCCCTTCCACGCTCTCTAAAAAAAAAAAAAAAAAGGAAAAAATATCCTCACTCCTCCAGTAAGGATTAAAGAATAAATAAAGTATAGATAATAAGGCTCTATAGACCAACATTAAGAATTTAGTTACCTCTGCTTCTCTTTTCTTTGCCCGTGCTTTCTCTACTTCATCCATTACTTTTTGAGATTCTTCCACATTTCCTTCAGCTCCTAGTTGTTCCACCTTAGCCAACAATTTACCAATTTCTTCATTTAACTCATGAACACGTTCTGCCTAGAAAGTAATAGAAAAAAGATCATGAAGAAAAAGCTGACAAAGTGTCAAAGTATTTCAGAAATGCTCAGAAGAGTTATTATATGAGGCAATATAATTATAAACAATGCTTTCTGAGCACATCATAAATTCGTGAGACATTAGGATGTTTTGAGCTTGCCTGCCTTCACTTCGGTGAAGTCAGGGATACATCTGATCTCTATATAAACTAGCACTTTGCATCCTCGGCTTTGGCAGTGTATTCCAAGTATAAAATACCTTTTCTTCTTGGGATGTCACCCCTTTACCTCACTTGCTGGCCTAGTGAATGTCTATTCACTGAACAAGATCCAACTGGAGTCTATTCTGTGAAACGTTCTTGATCAATCATTATATTTCACCTCCACTTACACACAAAAGCAGAGAGCCAAATCCTCTTTTGTGTTACTTTTGTATCTTTTACTATTACTTTTATATACACTGAGTGGCCAGATTATTATGACCGGCCAGATTATTATGACCACCCCATCAGTATTTCATTGATACTTCCAAAAATACTGAATACTGGAAACTTCCTAAGCAAATACTCTCAAGGTTTTATTATTATTATTATCTGCATAACTAATTCACTTCATTGTACTGATGGGGTGGTCATAATAATCTGGCCACTCAGTGTATATCATACCACATTAAAGATAGCTATATATATTTCCCATCTTTGTATTTCCAATGTCCAACAAATAGCATTAGCTCAAATATGAGTTAAAGATATAAACTGGTGCTGATGAATTCTCTTTGAATGAAAATATGACTTTAGATATCTGGCTTATGGGCAAGTCAGTTACTAGGTGTACAATTTTGGTCATATTATTTCACCTGAATCTACTTCCTCATCTGACTAGTAGGAATTAATATCTCACAAAGCTATGAGAAACAAGAAAATGTGCCTTGCACATACATTGTGCAGTACATTACTGATTTTTAGTATAACAGCATGACAACCCTTCTCCCTTAGTCCATGTCTTTTCACTGGGATTAATTTTTTCCTTGGGATTTGATATGTCTCCTCCTCCTCCTCTTCACCTTCAGCACCACCATCATCCTAGTTCATTCCTTTTCTTTTAATGGCACTTGATAGATACACACAGACTATTTTTTGGCCCTAAGTAAGTATTTATTTATAATTGATTACATTATATTAGCAAATCAATTATATTAGCAAAGAAGGTTCTAATTTGATATGGACATCTGATCTCAATAAAATAAGACTTCTCAAATAATCTTTACTTCTCAAATTTCCTTCAATCCAAGATATTCACCCTTCAAAGAAATTTCCAACTCTATTATCATTACCTCTTTAACAAAGTGGTATTTTTCTTTGAATGATTGCATTAATGCCCCAAACTCTTCATCCTTCCCTGTACCCATGTCCTTCACTATTTTATCAAGTATCATCATATTCTGAATCTGAACTTGGCCACATAGTTAACTGGCTTTGGTTAACAGGACGGTAGCAAACATGACACAAGGAATGGCTTGAAAAGTGCTTATATGAATGAGCTTTTGTACCTCAACTCTCACTGTGAGAAATTAGTTCAGTAACCTCCAGCTGATTGGGAGACAAGGAAGAGGGCCCCGCTAAGACAGGAATAAATACCCAGTCAAGTTCAGCCTAAATCAGTAGTCAATGAGCTAAATAAATACTTACTGTTTCCAGTCCCTGAATTTTGGGGTAGTTTGTTAAACTGCATTTTGGTAGTGATGGATAACCAATACAACTTGGGGTCTAGCCAGCAATTTTGGATCCCTTTCAACCATGATCCCTTGTACTTTAGTATGTCCATCTTTATAATCCTGATCTTCAGAGAACTTTTCAGAAGTTGGTTGAAAGTGACCTTTTCACAAATAAGGGAATCCACTTCCCTTTGTACATACATATCTAAGCACTATAATAGTATTTAATGCTGTCATGTAAATCCTACCTGGATAACTATTGCATTCTCCATTTTCATAAAATGTACCACACTACATGGAATGGTACAGAATGTTATAAAATAGTAAGTCATCAAACCAACAAAATGCAATACATGGACCTTTTCTGAATTCTGATTATATAGGAAAAATAAACACTGTTTATTAAGTAATTTTTAAACCTTGTTAACTTCATGGATATGACTCTGTAGTTATATTTTAGAGGTGAAATGATACGACACTTAGAAGTTGCTTATCTATATAATAAAAGCCTAAACGGCCAGGAGCTGCCCCCTGGTTGTCAGTGAGCCCCCACCGGGGGAGCGCTGCTCAGCCAGAAGCCAGGCTCACGGCTGGGGAGCGCAGCGGCAGCAGTGATAAGGAGCAGCGAGAAGGCAGGCGGTAAGGAGCAAGGGGTCCCGGGCTGCGAGAGGGATGTCCGACTGCCAGCTTAGTGGGGAGCAGGCCTAATCTGGCAGGCGGACATCCCCCAAGGGGTCCTGGACTGCAAGAGAGCACAGGTCTGGCTGAGGGAGCCCCTAGTGCATGAATTTTGTGCACCAGGCCTCTAGTAAAATAATGAAACAACAGAAAGCTGACAGCTTTGAATCCATTAGGATTTGTTGTATTTTTCTCTACTTTTGTGTATAAGTTCACAACAAAATATTTTTTAAAAATAGAGAGTTGCCCTGGTAGAAGTAGCTCAGTTGGTTGAGGCTTGTACTGTGCACCAAAGGTTACCAGTTTGATTCCAGGTCAAGGCACATACCCAGGTTTCTGGTTTGATCCCCAATTGGAGTGCATGCTGAAGGCAGCCAATCGATGTTTCTCACATCAATGTTTTTCTCTCCCCCTACCTTCCCTTCTCTCTCGAAAACCAATAAAAATGTATTAAAAAAAAGAAAAAGTAGTGAGTAGACAAAACTCAACATTTAAAAAATGAACATTCTTGCCAAAACCGGTTTGGCTCAGTGGATGGAGCGTCGGCCTGCGGACTGAAGGGTCCCGGGTTCAATTCCAGTCAAGGGCATGTGCCTGGGTTGCGGACACATCCCCGGTGGGGGATGTGCAGGAGGCGGCTGATCAATGTTTCTCTCTCATCGATGTTTCTGACTCTCTCTCTCCTTTGCTCTCTGTGGAAAATCAATAAAGTATATTTAAAAAAAAAAAAAAAATGAACATTCTTGCCCTAGCCTGTGTGGCTCAGTTGGTTGAGTGTTGTCCCATGCACCAAAAGAAGACCGTTTTGATTCCCAGTTAGGGCACATGCCCAGGTTGTGGGTTCAACGGGAGGCAACAGATTGATCTATCTCTCTTACATTGATAATTCTCTCCTCCTCCTTTCCCCTCTTTAAAATCAATAAAAACATATTTATAAAAAAGAATGAACATTCCATTTGGAAAATGGGCATAAGACATACACAGATATTTCACCGAAGAGAATATTCATATGGCAAATAAGCACATGAAAATGATGTACAAAGTCATTACTCATTAGGGAAATTGAAACCACAATGAAATGTAGTAACACACATTTCAGAATGGATAAAATAGTGACATCATCAAAATGCTGACACAGCCCTAACCGGTTTGGCTCAGTGGATAGCGCGTTGGCCTGCGGACTCAGGGGTCCCAGGTTCAATTCCGGTCAAGGGCATGTACCTTGGTTGTGGGCACATACCCAGTGGGGAGTGTGCAGGAGGCAGTAGATCGATGTTTCTCTCTCATCAATGTTTCTAACTCTCTATCCTTCTCCCTTCCTCTCTGTAAAGAATCAATCAAATATATTTAAAAAATTAAAAAAATTAAAAAAAAATGCTGGCACAAATGTGAACAAAGTGGATCACTAACACACTGCTGGTAGGAATGTAAAATGGTACAGCCACTCTAGAAAAAAAGTTTGGTATTTGCTTCCAAAACTAAAAATGTCCTTACCATATGACCTAGCAATTGCAGTCTTGGTTATTTATCCCAGAGAAATAAAAACTTATGTCCACACAAAAATCTGTACATGAATGTTTATTGCAGCATTATTGGTATTAGCCAGTAACTAGAAACAACCCAAATGTCCCCTTCAATATGTGAGTGGTTAAACTGCAATATATCCCTAACCCTAACCCTAATCCATACCATGGAATACTACTCAGAAATAAAAAGAAATGAACTACTGATACGACAACTTGTATGAATCTCAAGTTGTGTTGAGTATAAAAAGCCAATCTTAAGAGGATACATACTGCATGATTCCATTTATGTGATATTAGGTGAAATAATCCTATATAATAAAAGACTAATATGCAAATAGAGCAAACAACCGGTTGCTATGACATGCGCTGACGGGGGGGGGGGGGGGGGGGGCGCGGGGGGGGAACGGAACATGCGGGTGTCGGCAGCAGGCATCAGAGCGCGAAACATGGTGGGCGTTGGCTGCAGCGGGATGGTCAAGCAGGTGAACAGGGGCACCAGACCAAGGCAGGGCGCCAGACCAAGGCGCAGTCGCTGTCAGGGTGAGCCTCTGGTGGTTACTGAAAATTCTTTGCTTCCGCACACCGTGGTCCCGCCCAGTGCTCACACCTGCTGCCAGCCCCGGCCCCACTCGCTCCACTGCCGGTGCTGATTGCTGGGAGCCAGCAGCGGGTGTGAGCGGCGGTTGCTGACCCCGATCGCCCCTCAGGGCTTCTCTACCTCCCCCTGATCCTGAGGGGTGATCAGGGCAGCAGCTGCCGCTCGAACCCACTGACAGTGCCAACCCTGCTCATACCTGCTGCTGGCACCAGTCTCAATGGCTCCGCACCTTCAGCAGGTGCCAGTGGGACCGGTGCTGTCAGCAGCGGGAATGGCGGGAGCAGGACTGCCAGCAGACAGGGGACCAGGGGCTGCAGCAGAAGGGGCGGGGAGAAGGGGTAGAGCGCGTGGAGGATGGGCCGAGATCCGCCTGTGCCCACCGCAACCTCTCAGCCCACAGTTCCTTTCAAGGTGCACGAATTTGTGCACAGGGCCCCTAGTATAATTATCAAGACAGAAAATAAGTTAGTGGCTGCCAGGGGCTAGAGGAAAGGGTGGTGTGGCTATAAAGGGGTAACATGAGGGAGCCTTGTGATGATAATGCTACAATTAATGTAATTATTATAATATTTATCCTATTTGCACGTGATAAAACTGCATAGAGCTACACACACAAAAAACAAGTAAATGCATGCATTAACTGGTGAAATCTGAATAAAATACAAAGACTGGACCAAAATTAATTTATTGCCTTTGACATTGTACTGGTTGTGTAAGATATCTTAACATAAGGGGAAGCTAGAGGAAGAGTACATAGAATTTCCTGTTTGTCTTTGCAAGCTTCTGTGAATGTAATTTTTCAAATTAAAAGGTGAAATTATATTCTGTACTATTAAAAAGATTGAGCGTCGGCCTGCGGACTGAAGGGTTACAGGTTCGATTCCAGCCAAGGGCACATGCCTGGGTTGCGGGCTCGATCCCCAGTGGGGGGGGCATGTGGGAGGCAGCCGATCGATGATTCTCTCTTATCACTGACGTTTCTATCTCTCCCTCTCCCTTCCTTTCTGAAATCAAGAAATATATTTTTTAAAAAAAGATTGAAATTGTTACCTTTGCTGCCACTTCAGCACTAATCTCTTCTTGAGTTTCTGCTAATCTTTTCTTGGCCACTTCTGTTCTTCGATCACAATCGGCAATAAATGACTGCAGATGATCCATAGCCTACAAAGTTCAATTAAAAGACAATTACTTCCAGAAAAATCAACTTTCTTCAGAAATATCTTTACTCAAACTTACACTTTTAAGTCAATAAGACATATCCGTGGGTGAGCAATTTTAAAGAAAGTGATCAAGAATCTCACTTCCTTTCCAGCTGACAGCTGTGCTTATATTTCCATTTTATTTATATATATGTATATGTATATATATATGTATATATATATATACATATACATATACATATACATATACATATACATATACACACACATATATATATATAAAGAGGCCCAGTGCATGAAATTCGTGCACTCAGGGGCGGGTGGGGTCCCTCAGCCCAGCCTGCACCCTTTCACAGTCCGGGAGCCCTCGGGGAATGTCCGACTGATGGCTTAGGCCTGTCAGTCAGACATCCTTAGTGCTGCCGCGGAGGCAGGAGAGGCTGCTGCCATCACCGCTGTACTTGCCAGCCGTGAGCCCAGCTTTTGGCTGAGCAGCGCTCCTCCTGTGGGAACACACTGACCACCAGGGGGCAGCTCCTGCATTGAGCATCTGCCGCCTGGCGGTCAGTGTGCATCATAGCAATCGGTCATTCTGTTGTCCAGTCAATTTGCATATTAGCTTTTTATTATATAGGATATATATGAATGTATGTATAATTTAAATTATAAGGGTTTTATTTAAAAATATAAATTTACTCAGCACATATCAAATTCTAAAAATGGTTGGTTAACCCAAAAATTTCTTGAAAGTGAAAAGCAGAAAAGAAACTAGAAGAAAATAATAGAGAACTCATCACCTCAGAATGGGGAAGGCCTTTCTAATTAATCCAATAGAGATTTTGAAAAGATTAATTATATAACAATAAAAATATTCTGCAAGGCCCATAACTACCAAAAGAAAAACGGGGTGGGGGAAATGCAAAGTATTATCTGAGGGAAGGACTAATTTTCATGTCAAGTTAGTACAAATCAACTAAAAATAAATGTTGACATCAAAGATTAGCCAATAGCCAAAAAAAAAAATTGTAAACTGACAGTTCACTAAAAAGGAAATATAAACATCTTAAATATATGAAATATGTTCAAACTCACTCATAAGAGAAATGAGGGTTAAAACTACACTTACATTACACATTTCATGTAAGTTGCAAACAAATCTTGAAAACACACTATGTGGTCAGATGGGAAATAGATAATCTCATATAGTATTGGTGGGAGTATAAATTCATAATTCTAATGAAGAGCAACTTGGCAAAATTACTCTCTGACTCAGTTATTGTATTTCTAGGAACTTACTCTATACACTTGGTAAGTAAAAATACATCATCATACTATAATAGAGAAAGACTGAAAATAACCTAAATTTTTACACCCTTACATCTAGATGATAGAAAATTTCTGCTGTATTTTATGCCCAATGTGTATAAATCATAACCCAATCACACTTTTAAGTCAGAATATGGTGATTCCCCAAAATGTTCCAGCCATGTATTAAATTGTATTTACATAGATGGTTTTTATTTCCATTAACGGAAATTCAGAAGTAAATGTGTGTGTGTGGGGGGGGAGGGGGGTCTACTGTACTGCTTTATCTCCCAAACCAAATAAAATGCCTATCTCCTCACTTACAAAAGGTAGCATAAGATTTATGCTTATCAGTATGTTTTATGTAATGCTGACTGGTATATTTTATTTAAGTATAAAAAAAGTTTCCCTATTTTTATACAATTCTCATGTTTGTTTAAAAAAACAGTGCTCACATATATTAAAACTAGAACCATACAGAGATTAGCACGACTCCTGTGCAATGATGACATGCAAATTCATGAAGTGTTCCAAATTTTTAAAAAAGAAAAAATATTAAAAACACACACACACAATAGTCAGATTTTGAGCCATTCAGATATCTAAATGGTATCTCCTCTAATAATTCTTCCATTTTACATTAAAAAACAGCATTGTCCTTAATACTCTCCCTCTCTATGTGTATATTTACAGGTACAAAAATATGAATATTGCTCAGTCAGCATGGCTCAGTGGTTGAGCACTGACCTATGAACCAGGAGGTCCTGGTTTGATTTTGGTCAGGGAACATGCCTGGGTTGCAGGCTCAATCCCCAGTGTGGGGAGTGCAGGAGGCGGCCAATCAATGATTCTCTCTCACCATTGATGTATCTGTCTCCCTCTCCCTCTCCTTTCCTCTCTGAAATAAATAACAATTTTAAAAAATAGTAACAATATGATGAATATAAAAAGCCTTACATGCACTAGAAATTGGTTTATATTTGTTTAAATTGATACCTTCCTTAATCATTACTACTTTGAGAAAAATATGCTTAATTTTCAGAATATAGGGTGTACTAAAAAATGTATATACACACTTTGAATAATAATAAAGGCAGGGTTTATTAAAATACATTTCATTTTTGCCCTAGCTGTTTTGGCTCAGTGGTTAGAGCATCAACCCACAGACTAAAGGGTCCCAGGTTTGATTCTGGTCAAGGCTCAACCCCCGGTGTCGCTCAGTAGTTGAGAGTCAACCTATGAACCAGGAGTGTAGAGAGCACCTGGGAAAGGTCCCTGAGCTGATTGTCATCTGAATCCAGTGGTGCCCGGCAGAGCCATGCCCTGGAAACATACCTTGCCAGAGGCAGGTGTGTTGTTAGCCTGACCTTCAGCTCAGGCACCAACAGGTGGGTTTCATTATCTAAATCCAGCCACACACCAGGAACAAACAGGATTATCCGGGCCCACCCAGAAGTGATGATTACAAAGAAGCCACAAGAATGCACATAATCTCCTTTGTCTTGGGCTTTAGTAAAACTTCCTGGTATGGGCCACTGTCTCTCTATCACAGGACAGCTGTCCCACCCAGCCCCAGCTTTTTCCTTCTGTCTTTCTCTCTGTCATTTTCTCAATCCCCAGCCGCATCTACTCAGGAACCAGACCGCTCTCTAGCCATGCTGGATGCGGAAAAAAGAGAAATATTTATACAGGAGGTCACGGTTAGAGTCCCATTCGGGGTGCAGGCCTGGGTTACAGGCTTGATCCCCAATGTGGGGCGTGTGGGGAGGCAGCCAATCAGTGATTCTCTCTCATCATGACGTTTCTGTCTCTCTCTCCCTCTCCCTTTCTCTCTGAAACAAATAGAAATTTATTAACAACAACAAAAAACATTTCATTTTCAAAACTGAGCTATCAAGCTATGTGCATACACATTTTTTGAGACATCCTGTATATAAATTATATGACTTTACATATTTCCTTAAAATATACAGTTTCATCTTACATTTTCTAAAACTGTTAGTCAGGAAGTACATGATCTCACTTCATTTTAGTACTACCCTTCAAATAACCACGAAGAATATAATTTGCTAAGAGCCTTTCCCCATTAAGAGAAAAATCCATATTCAAGATGTTGTATTGTGACAGATAATGTAACTCATTAAAATAAAATCACATACATCAAGCTCAAAGAAGAAATCTTGTTCTTTGGATGCAATTTCATAATCTGCTCTTAAAGCCAGGTCATGGACTTTCAGACATTCTCCAAGATCCATTCTCTAAGAAGGAAAAAAAAAGGGGAGGACACATTAAACAGAAAACACGTTTTTTAACAATTCATTAATAACCACAGTACTCCATAAAATATATGTTAAGTCATACAAATGCTTCTTTGTTTATGGACTTTCAAATTACAAAATTTCATAAACAAGTATTAAACTTGGAGCCAAAAAGAAAAAAAAAAAGGACAACAATTCTATCTACCAATAGGTGAGAAAAGTGATCACTTTTGTACTTAAGAACAGACTGACAAGGAAAAGCCTGTCTGAATCTAAACAAAGCTGGGGGGAAAAAGCTCCTAGCAACAACATGAATATGTTTATAACACAAGGATATCAATTTTCTAATCAATTTTCTATATTATGTCATGTTCAAAAAGAGTGATGGACCAGATAAAATTTAAAAACAATATGAAGTCCTATAGCTATATCTAAGAAGACAAATTTACAAATAACTAGGTATGAGCAGAAAATTAGACAAATTAAAAAACTTACTCGTCAAGAGTAAAGGTTACAATGTGGCATGGCTGAGATAAATTAACTTACAGGGTATAGTCCAAACAACGTGACAAATCTTACTAAAGGCTGGTTTTAAAAGCAAACCCTCTCTCCTCCAAAAGAGACATTTTGTGTGCTAACGCATTTCAAAAGGGATCTAAATAAACCAACAAAATGTCTCAAAACGAAGCCATACCAAAAAGCAAAAGTAAAGAAATAATTAACTGGCCATAGCCGGTTTGGCTCAGTAGATGGAGCGTCGGCCTGTGGACAAAAGGGCCCCGGGTTCAATTCTGGCCAAGGGTACATGCCCGGGTTGCGGGCTTGATCCCCGGTAGCGGGGCATGCAGAGGGTGGCCGATCAATGATTCTCTCTCTCTCCCCTCCATTCCTCTCGGAAAGGGAGGGGAGGGGAGGGGGGAGGGAGGGAAGGGGAGGGGAGGAAGGAAGGAAGAAAATTAGATGGCGAAGAATCATGATGTTTAGAACTTTTCAGTATGAAATAGAAACAGATTTTATTATGGCCCCAAAGGACTCTATAGTGTCTTATTTTAACTCTTTCATTATAAGAAAACATTTAAGCTTCCTCAGGAGTTACTGAGCTACCAGATAAATGAGAGATTCAAATACAGTTCAGAAAACCATTTTTCTAGGATATTGTGGAAAGAATTCAACCATCAAGTAACTTATTCTTCCAACTCTTGAGATTTTTATGACTATATTAAAAAAGTTTATCTGTAGAACTATATTATCTCAGTTCTTAATTACTTGAAGGAACAAATGTGAAAACCTAAGTAAACAATGTCCTCAAAGCTATCCTTTGGGAAATTATAAGGAATATTCACCATATTAAAAAAGTCATTACAATAATGGCTCTAAAGCAGTGGTCAGCAAATTCATTAGTCAACAGAGCCAAATATCAACAGTACACCTATTGAAATTTCTTTTGAGAGCCAAATTTTTTAAACTTAAACTATATAGGTAGGTACATTGTTATTAACTTAATTAGGGTACTCCTAAGCTGGCCTTTGCTAAAAACGTCCTCAATCTGATTGAGATACGTTGGCTGAGGTCAACCCCTTCCTACTCTCCCATCCACACTCGTCTTATATACTTGTTTCAGATAGACGAGTGTGGATGGGAGAGTTGGAAGGGGTCGATCTCAGCGAACGTACCTCAAAACAATGTACCTCCTCCACGCTGCATATCCTGTGGCCCGCCTGTGCCAAGTCTCCGGTCGCCAGACCGACCGACACCCCCCACTTCTTCTAACGCCACTTCTTCAAAATAGACTCGCCCAGGCCGAAAACCGACTTCTGCGCATGGGCCACGAAGTTTCAATCGCACTGTACATGCGCACCCACACGTGGTATTTTGTGGAAGAGCCACACTCAAGGGGCCAAAGAGCTGCATGTGGCTTGCGAGCCACGGTTTGCCGACCACTGACCTAAAGTATCACTGTGTTGCTGAGGATGTGGAGTTTTTCCAGGCCTCATTTCCAGGCTCTTGTTCATTATTCTAAGGGCTATAACAAACCAAGTAGTTTTCCAGTAATAGTAAAGAGCAACTGAAACTTTCTGTAGATGTATGAAAATTTAAGGCTGCTTATTAAGCAATATTTATGGAAAGGCTGTTGAAAAAAGTTTAATATTCTTTTTAAAATGCAGGAAAATAAGACAGGAATGAAAGAAGTTAATGGCCAAAGAATGCTGTTATCCTCTTGGCTACAAGGGCCAACTGGTTCCTTAATATCTTAACATTAATCACTCCAACAACTTCTTTTGCATCTGTATGTATTTCCACAGCTATAGTTGCTCAGGAGAGGCTATACTTATTTCATAAAAGCTTAAGCAGTCACTGTTGGAAATGCTTTTGATCCAGCGCAGTGATTCTTAACCTGGACCCAGGGACCTTTAAAACAATACTGATGAAAGCTTCTGAAGAGAGAGGCCCACGCCTGGTGTGGAGAAATACTTAATATTTATTGAATGAACCAATCTGGGAAAAGAGAGCAGAGAAGAACATTTGGCCCAGGAGGCCCTGGGCTTAACAATCAAGAGTGGTCAGGATGCATCCCAGGACAAAACTGATCTGAGCTTTAGAAGGTCTTCTCATCTTGGGTTATCTCCTTTGCTTGTATTACTTTCCTTCTTAAGTGTTTCTAGCTACTCCTCTCCTCCAGCAATTAAGACTACTGGGCTTTTCACTTTCCTGGGCTATGAGCATATGTAACTTTACAGTCTAACCTGGCTTACCATAGTAGATTTTGGGGCCAAAGCCCTAGAAGGGCCTAGCTATAATAAAGACTTGGGGGGCTGGGGAGGATTACAATAGCCTGTGCTTATTTTATGGAACAGGACAAAAGAGCAAGGCAGATTTTCAGAATTCTAGATACTAACTGGTTATTTCCCCTTGTCTACACCATCACGACTAAGCATCTACTGTGAATTGTGCCATACACAAAAGGGGTGTCCTATATAATAAAAGCCTGATATGCTAAGTGTCTGGTCAGCCATTCAACCAGTCAAAGTGTAATATGCTAATGATATGCTAAGGCCACTCAACCACTCGCTATGACATGCACTGACCACCAGGGGGCAGAAAGTCAACCAGTTGACCAGTCACTATGACGTGCACTGACCACCAGGGGGCAGATGCTCTCACCAGGTTAGCTTGCTGCTGGGGTCTGGCCAATTGGGAATGAACACGATGGGCCGGACACATCCTGGAGCCCTCCCGCAATCCCGCCCCGGCCCCAATCGTGCACTGGTGGGGTCCCTTGGCCTGGCCCAGGGCACGTGCCCTGACCAGGAATCGAACTGTGACCTGATTCATAAGTCAACACTCAACCACTGAGCCTTGCCAGCCAGGCTGATAAGTGCTTTTTAATTCTTTTAAAATTCCAAAAGTGAATGTTATCTCCCCAAATGTACTCTAAGCTTCCTGAGAAAAATGGTTTATTTCTCTTCTTTTTTCATTCTACATAAAAGAACAGATTCTGCACAACCCATGATTATTAAATAAACTTGATGATTTGATAAAGGAACTGTACTTCTAAGAATTTGAGGAAACAATAAAATAAGTACACATAAACAAACACTAAGATTTAACAATAGTGTTTTTGATCTAAAAAGTTAGAAACATTTTAAAATCCCAGCAACAGCGGTTTGACTAAATGAATTAAGGAATAGTCATATGACACATGACATAGCGATTAGAAAAGTGTTCTTTTTTTTATTATTAAATATATTTTGATTGTTTTCAGAGATGAAGGAATAGGGAGAAAGAGAAACATCCAGGATGAGAGAGAATAATGGATCGGCTGCCGCCTGCACGCCCCCCACTGGGGATCAAGCCTGTAACTTGGGCATGTGCCCTTGGCTGGAATCAAACCCGGGACCCTTCAGTCCGCAGGCCAACACTCTATCCACTGAGCCAAACCAGCTAGGGCTAGAAAAGTGTTCTTTTTTTAAAATTTATTTTATTGATTTTTTACAGAGAGGAAGGGAGAGGGATAGAGAGCTAGAAACATCGATGAGAGAGAAACATCGATCAGCTGCCCCCTGCACACTCCCTACTGGGGATGGGCCTGCCACCAAGGTACATGCCATTGACCAGCATCGAACCTGGGACCCCTCAGTCCCCAGGCCGACACTCAATCCACTGAGCCAAACCGGTTAGGGCTAGAAAAGTGTTCTTAATGCTAAGTGGAAAAAAGACGGCAAAGAAAGACAATAAAATGCCAGTTTTGTAAATTTAGACACAGACATTGCTGTAAGGTTGGTTTATATAAACCTTTTGATAGCTGTTAAATTAAATGCAATGAGCATATATTATTTTTACAATCAGAAAGCCAATAAAGCCACTTTAATTTTGAAAGAAAATATTGAGGTAACAGAAAAATTATACTCAACAAAAAATATAGAGTGCACTGCCAAGTGTAAACTAATGGCAGTATATGTCAATGAGTATACCAGTGATAGCAACCAGACATAGTAACAGCTCTAAGTATTTGCAAATATTCTTGCTTTGTTAGGTTAGTACATTTGCTTGGTTCTATAAGCTAAATCCTAAAGGGAATCATAAAATAGTGTGAGACTAATTTCTGTATCAATGAATTTATATTCTCAATGTAAAAATGACATTAAACTAAATTAACAGTTGCAAATGTACACAAAAACATACACACAAGGATTTCATTGCCACTGTACAGCAAAAACAGATGCAAAAAATATTGACATATTAATAGTCATTGCCTCAGTGCTTAAACGTCAACCTATGAACCAGGAGGTCACGATTCGATTTTCCAGTCAGGGCACATGCCCGGGTTGCAGGCTCGATCCCCAGTGTGTGGCATGCAGGAGGCAGTCGATCAATGATTCTTCATCATTGATGTTTCTCTCTCTCCCTCTTCCATCCTCTCTGAAATCAATAAAAATACTTTTTTTTTAAAAAAAAGAGAAAGAAAAAGAAACCATCAATGAAACAAAAAGGCAACCAAC